TTCTCGAATCAGGCCAGAAGAGTAAAGAGAAAGAATGATGATGACTTGAAGTTAAGTACGGATTTAAAATCTATTATGATGACGTTTGCTGATCCCCCCAACTTGTTACCCGTCCCTCTTATCATACTTTCCCTTAGCTGCATTGCATTGCCATTTCTCAACCTTCCCTTTATTACAGAATAATGCTGTGCTGCGTCACATCTCAAACGATATATTATTTTAGGTCTTGAACTCGCCTTCCTCTTTCCACGGAGGAGAAAGAAATATTTTCTCATCACTTTTCCAGACTTTTCCTTGTTTCCCAACTCCGACAAACTACTACTTCTATGGATAGTCGTCCTGCCTGAGAGAGAAAATCAGAAGACTCAGGATCAGTATATATGTGTGCGAATCCATCCTTCCGTCTTCACCACAAAAGCTGTGAACCAAAACCTTTAAAACTGTGGATTCTGTTCACAGCCGCGGCATCACATGAAGAGAAGCCAGGAAAGGTTTTGTTCTTCTTGGTCTCGGTGAAGTGAATCAGCAGAGATAAATCTCACAGACTCACTTTCACTTAAGATTTCGCTGCTGCAACTTCAGAGCCAACCAGCCCGCCCGGTTATCTTCTATTAACTCTTGATTCCGTAAATACCTCAACTAAGTGAAGATTCGCAGTGAGGGGAAGAAGGCTTTGGTCTATACGAGTAACAAGGATCTCGTATTCTTACTTAGCTTGAGCCACACAACCAACCAATATGAGCGATTATGGGTTCACTGGCTGCTTCACATTTCGCATCTTCCGAAGTGAAAGGGCAATCCAAGCAGAAAATTCTCATTTCTTTTCACCACAACAGTCGCAATTCATTCCGCTCTTTTCATTCCACTCTTGCGTATATAAATATACGAGAACAATCGTCTTGGAATGTTGACGAAGGAAACTTGTACAAAATTAGAAAGAATCGAGATCTTCCATTATCCAAAACTCGTTCTAACTAACAAATCCAATCCGTTGTCTCTGCAGAAAAAAACTCTTCCCAAGTTCCCTGACTTACTTTCCCGTCTCAGCTTCGCACACACTATCCTCAAATTTTGTCGAAGTTCCGAAACATGTCACTCTTATATACAAATATATAAACATACAGAGACCGTCTACAAATATAATAATTTCTGAAATCATAGCCATAGAAAATAGTCCATAAGAAGCCCATTGCATTTTGTAATGGCTGTAATTGAAAAGCAACTAACTTTTCAGCTATGCAAGAAACCTTATTATAAATTTAGCCTCGATCGTTCAAATAATTATCTCGCCTTCTCCGTTACGTAAATGCATAGATGGCAGAGATATTCGATGCTCGTTATTCAATAATTCAATCTAAATAAATACTTCAAGCGCTCATCAACGAATCTTCTACCCAAGTCATTTTGCCTGGCGTTCTATGTGCGATCCTTGTGTATATTTAAATGGTCTGTGATGCAATTTACAGACATCAAACTCAGCATCATTTCTGGAAGGAGGCAACACTATACTTTTTCTATTAAAACTAAATTTTATCTTTGATACTACACCTGCAATAATAAATCTTGAACTGCTTTTTGCATAAAGAAAGGCCTGTGTATCCCGAGCCAGCGTTGTGGCACAGTTTTTGTATCCAACTTTCAAAATACTTTCTTCATTCTTCGCAAGAATAAAATCCAGAATTAGCACATCTTCTGCATAATTAAATCCATTTCGGTTATAATTACGCGTCCAAACGGCGTTCTTATATGTGTGACGCCAAGAGCTAGGCCACGCAGAGAATGTGAGGGAAACTTTGTTTTGGGAGTTGGTAGGATAGTGAACTAAATTAGTTGAATGCGATATTTACGCCTGGAGAACAATGGTTGAAGTTGGAAATTTGGAGGAAGATGAAACTTTCGCCTTTATTTACAATTTAGACTGGTTCGGACGAGACAGTGGGGAGACAGATGGTAGTCGGATGGAGGGCGATAAGGTCCATCTCTCCCTCCGGTATATGATGATAATGGCGAAGGCTCGGATGTGGTGTTGAGACTCGATCTTCCTCATTTCTGGTGGAGAACCATCCCAATTCAAAAGTTGTCTTGCGGACAATACATGCGAGCAACTGCTGCGTTGAGTAGTCAGTTCATAAGATGGAGATGAGTTGGTGAGGGCAAAGGGGGGAGACGACTTTCCCAGAGTTTTAGCATACTGACACCCGAGGAGGAGAGATTTAGCGAACGACTCATGCATAATTAGCAAAGGTCAATAAGATCCCTCCAAGGGTTTGCTAATTGCATTAAACAACAGCAGCCAAGTAGTCGACACCACCAAACTCATTCACTCACTTGGATGGAGCCAAGTAGAATATAATACTCTTCAGCTATCCAGACGAGAAGTTATCGCCACGTCACAGCAACATTTCAATTAATTACTATTTCAGCAACTAGCTTACTCTACTTTAAGGGGAAAGCAATTTAAGGCTATGTCTATAGCAGCGATACACGGGCACGAGTGTGCATGCAGTGTGTGTCAATTACCGTTAGTATTGATCATCTTTAAAACAGGAGCCTGTCTTAACAAAGTTGCTCAAGGAGGCAAAGTTGAGGTCACCACAGAGTGAAACGTGCTCTTAATGAAGTGGCATTTAATTCATCGTTTGGGTACTAAATAGAATGAGAACAGAGGCTGAGGAATTTACAAAATCTACTGTTTGCACTTTAGCCGTTAAAAAGAAGCAGCACTACTTTTGCATGAAACAAGTTCTATGTGCATGCATACAATAGTGCTCAGTCAGCCTCAGACAGGGACCAAAGATCTTTTGTGATAATAAAGAGAATGAATGACTGGATAACTTTCTTCTTCCAAGTAAAGCCCCAGCCAATCTTTCTCCCTGAAGAGTTAACTCATCTAGAATTTACTAATGTTTTTCCATCGGTGAATTCCCAACTGGGCCATTTGATGTTGTTTTTGTTGTGAATCTCCTCTTCTTCCGCTGCACAGGATCAACAACACACGGGTCCATTTACTCTTAAAATGTTTACATGCTTTACTTCATTACAAGCCATCCCAGACCTTTTGTAGATATCAGTAAAGTCTACTTTCGTGGGCACATTTTTAAAATGCAAACTTCACTTTCTCTCTATGTCCAACCTCCAAATATATAAATCTGTATGGGATGTAAATAGTAGCTTTACAAAAGTGCTGTCAATTAAAAATGACATTATTCTAGTTTCCTACATAGTATGTATTTTTTAAATTCGATAAACTTACTAACTCCTACTTAACGGCATAATATGTTTTATGTATGTACGTATTTGCTAATAAAAGGATTTTCTATGCCGAATATGGCGATTTATAACATGGCTCCAGCTCAGTCAGATGGAACTTTGCTCACACAATCTCAGTGAAATTATTAATATTATTATGTATGTAGGTACTTGTTGCTAGGAACACATCCCGGATTGCTTACACCAGTGTGGAATCCCTCAAAGTACTCCTAAACATGTAACGTGCATGACGAAGTGAAACTTCGGTAACCAAGAAGAAGCCGCAAATGGAATAACTTACTTTGTGTGGTAAAGTCCAAAGTTACAGTTTCCAATTCAATTAGTGAAATACAAACGAGAGCTGATATCGAGTTTATGGTTCACCACAACCAACAACTTTAGGAAGAACAAGGATGTTTGTCTATTTATCTATTTACACCTACAGAATTTTAATGTTAATGTCGGATGCGTGGAATGATGATGAGAATCACGACTACATACATTCTAAATATAATATTTGAGAAAACATACTTAATCAACGTTAAAAATACCCTTGCAATTTTCCTCAAGAATACAATATCGGATATTGGTCGGTCATGGAAAAGTCAGTCCATGCATGGAATTCAAGAGCTGGGCGTTCAAAGAATTGAAATTCGACATCTTCCGTTTTACATTGCGGTCGGGGAACGTGAGTTTGTGTGAAATGTTTCCCAAATTCTACTCGTTGTACAATATTCAAAATAAGTTCTTCCGTTTTCGAAGATGGAGAAAATGGATGGGTTCGAAGATTGGAATTCCCACTTGTGCAGATATTACAACAAAATATTAGGTACATGCGGCCATCATCATCCGGAGATCTGCACAACGCTCCGGGTGGTATGCAAATAAGGTTGATGCCATCATCAATGTTCTCCAGTCGAGGAGGGTAGTCCAGCCGCCTTGTGCTTTTACCACCATTTCCATTCTCCAGTCAACAAAATTTCGATTTTTCAACATCCTTTTGCAGAAAGACAATCATCAAAGCAAGATCTTTTTTATAAAACTGAGAAATGGAATATTTTTGGCTGATTGATAAAGAAAACTCCGTCCAAGTGGAACTGCGGGGATCACTTTCCTCAGTGAATGCAGCGAACCTATCTCTGGTGGACCGGTGAAAGTTTAGTGAATAAAGGGAGCGTATTCCTCACCAAGTATTGAAATTGAAGGAAAAAGAAGAATGCAGACATTGTTCGAAAGCTGAGGCATGTTGAAACACAAGATCTCAACTTGACCTATTTGCCATTTGCATTTGTTTGGGCCAGCTAGGAAGGCAGGAGTCAAAATGGAAATAGAGAACAAATGCACATTTCCAATTCAAAATTTTTTCAATTTCGAGGAGGCAGCAGGGTTCAGTAGTCAAGTGGAATTCTGGAAGCAAAAAGGCAAAAGACCCTCCCTACGCAGACTGATAAGAGATTATTTATCATTAGAGAGGCCAAAATACTTTTACTTTACTAAACCTTCCAAAGTCATCAAAACATATTCCGACGTAAATCATTATTAGAATTTTTGTAATTTCTTTAATCAATCTCTTAATTTAGTAATGTGAAAGCAAAGTGAAAATTAGATATGCATGTATAGAATTTAAGCAGGGTACGTGTGTCTTATCCCGAAATGTAATTAACAAATCTTTCTTAGTCTGAATTGCAGTAGAAATAAATCATGCGCTTAATATTAGAGAAACAAAGTTTTAAGTGAATTAAATATCAAACCTGTTGAGGAGGCAAAATTAATTGGGCTGGAGGAGGACGATGGCGTTGCCTCGAGTTCTTGTGGTCGTAGGAGGAGGAAGATGAAGAATATTGGAGAGTGGAGTTTACGGAAAATCCAGCAGGGCTGTTGAAGGGGCTTCATTATTTCTTCAAAATCAAACCACAAATTCAGTTCTAGTCGTATCTTGGCTGTTCCATATCACAGTTTGCAATAGATTCACTCAGCAGCAAGTCAGTACAAATTATTCGGTCTTCTTAAGTATATCTGCACGTTAAGTTTATTGCAGCAACTACGAATACGGGGAACTCTGGCTTGGTAATGACATGTAGAAGAGACATGATAGAAGTGTGTAGTAAGTGGATTTTTGTTATTATTACACGAGTACTTGTAGACAGGAATTCAGCGAGTGACTCCTTTGCGGTTGAGGTCGAGGAATGAGCTTGCACGCGAGGTTGGCGTCGGGTGAGAAAATATTGAGAGGTGGACCACGATGAGCGAGCGCCGGTGGCAGTCTGAACTGGGATGGAGAAAGCTCGCGGAGAAAATGAGAAAACGCAGCTTTCACCACAACCACCCCACCAGCACCACGAACAGAACGCAGTGGGGAAGTTGACTCTGGGGAGAGTTGAAAGACTCCACTTCATCCGTGGCTCCACTGCCTGCTCTTCCCATCACCCATCCGTCTGCTTTCACTGTGCGGTAGGCGAATTAGAAAGTTGCCCACAGTCAGCGCCTCCATTGTTTGTTGAAGTGGAATGACTTCACGAAACACTGAAGTATGCACTTGATACAATTTTGTATATCAAACAATGCACAAAGTGTGTAAGTTGTTGTACGGTACGATTCTTGAACTATGGGAGCTTTATTTCTGTTCAGTCGCTACTATTAAGTTGCCTCTCTGACTCCAGGAGTCGAAGATAAGTATCTCGAAGGTTTGCGAGCCGGAACCGGAAGTTAAGAGACTGGAGCCGATGGGTGAATTTGTGACAATGACTGTGTTTGATTTTCTCCGTGACGAGCCAATACATAGATCTGATTGGAATTGGAAATGCTGTTCGCTATGGAACACTAATAATTTGAGGTGCTTTTATCCAGCGTAGGACGAAATCAAACTATTCAAACTTACGAGTGTGTATCTATTCATTATAACTTCACATATCCAGCGATTTTTAAACCAAATGGAAGTTCAACATCTTTATCCAAGGGGCTAATTTGTTTAGATTTCTATAAACAATGTTCATTCTTTAGACCATATTTATTATGACAATATTTGTCGCATGAAAGCATATCTCCAAGAAATTGCTAAACTTGCTTCTTACCACCATTTGCTATTAGGTATACTTAATCTTTCACAACGAAGCGCTCAAGGTTGCACTATAATTTTCCAAACGAGGGTCTGGTGAACTGATTTGTACATAATTTTGCTCAAAGAGAAAGGAGTCGAGCTTGTACACAGTCCTTCTATCTTCAGCGATTATGTATAATTCAACCTAAAACTAGTAAATTTCATTTTATTATACAAGTTGTTATTCTTGAGCCTGTACATCAGTTTTTATGCAATGATCGCTCATGATCGCTGACACTAGTTACAGAGTTCTGCTAATAGAGTAGAATTTTATATGTTCAAATATACAGTCACATATAAACCAATATTACTGTTGGTGTAGCCATTGCTGGTCGTTTAGTAATGAAGGGCTGTTCCATAAGCTACTTAAAAAATGGATTTCGACAACAAATTGCAATTTTTGTGCAGGATTTCTAATTAGGTGATTTGCATACGACAATTCCTAAATGACGTATGAAGTTAACTTAACCATAAGTACTTAGGATTAGCCTATAGTTTATCCATAAGATATGTCTTGCCTATGAAGCTATCATGATTCCCAAGTCGTGCAGTATTATGTATGTCTTCTTGTGCTGGACTTCATGAATAATCCTAAGAAAAATGATGGTGATAAACTGCAGTACTGAATAGAGGCACTGAATATGCAGTATTCAAGGATCAAAATGTAGATATGTAGATATGTAGATTAAGCAAAGAGAAAGTGCTCAAGAATGTGAAAATTCAGATGATGACAAATATTATGATATCAAAATAAATGAACAATGTTGCTCAAAGTGCACTATTCTCCAGTTAAAAACTTCCACAAAGAGAACGAATCTCTCTAAATTTTCAAAAATTGAGCGATTTGAAATGTATATTTAGTAGCATACAGGAAAATAATTGCACAAATGGAAAATGGTTTGAGGTGATAAATTAAAGCATGAATGATAAATGTGTATATTGTAAGTTTTATTATACTTGAAAAGACAAAACATATTTACAAAGGGGAGAAATTATTAGATCTTAATTCAAGAAGCTATGAAATTAACGCAAGATTCAACTACGACGACTACAGTGAAGCTTTCTAAATATTTACATTTACTTATCATTTATGTTCTTAGTTCATAGTTATTATTATCCATATTTTTTTAGTACATTCTGATCTACTTTCATATGTACTTGCTAAAGATTTTTATGTTTTTATTTTAGTAGAATATATAATAAGTTTGAATATTAGTGTTGTTAAAACTATAAAGAATGCTACTTTCTACAGGCCAGTTTAAAAGTAAGTTAATCAATACAATGTATAACATTCAACAAATATGTAAATAATGTGATCAGACTAAAACTAGGGATTTAATTTTCGGCAGAGATGCGCACAATTTCTGCATTCATATGAAGAATTTGGTTCAAGAAGTTTTCGTCATGAAGGACTCTTCCAATTACATTCATGGTTTGTGTCAATTTTCCACGTTTGAGTCCCATTTGCTCCTCGCAGAGTTGGATTTCTCGAGTCTCCTTCACATTTCGGGATACATTCAATCGAACGTTGACTCGGTTGTTATTTTCCATAAAGAAAATTGTCATCGTCTTCTTTACATTGGTCTAAGCAGTGAGAAAGCGCGCATTAAAATACTTGTCTGACAACGGACTAAATGACACCTTAATTAGTAGAAACCTACCTTTGTTAAAGGAAAATATAATCCACTTATCGGTTGTCCTTTAGGGTCACGTTTGAGTACGGATTTAAAATCATAGACCAGGTTCCGTCTTTCAGCACAATCCAACCCACTTAGAAACGGTCGGTCTATGAAAATGAGACTTGAGTGTGATGTGACTTTTCCCTTCTTGGTGTCAGTAATGGTCCAGTTGATGTACTTAAGTTTGGCCAAGTGGGTGTATTCGTACTCTTTTTTGTTTGTGCCGTCATCATTTTGGACAAATTTTCCTATTGTTGAAGTGAAAAGTATTAACTTCATTACAAGGGCAAAGCAACTGTGATCATGTTATCGTTTTAGAAACTTTGTAAGATAATTTATCAGATATTAGTATGACACACTCACCAGTGTGTGGATAAATGCCATCTTCCATAATAGTCACTGGTCTCGAAACATGGTAGCCTGGGTCTAACAACATGCATCCGTTCCTATTATGCCCGATCATGATTTTTAGGCAAACGGAGACATGTTCCTTCTCGACAATTTCTTTATCAGGTGGCGTGTTCTTTATGTATTCCTCCGTGGTCTCGATTGCCTATACATACATATGTAGGTATGCATTGATTTTGTTCCCAACATGACATGCAAAATACGACTCACTCACCTCCTCGCAAGATGTTACATAAAATTTGCCAGCTGCTGGGTGGCGAGTTGGCAATGTTGCATTTATTTGAGAAATCAATTCATGAGCCAACCCAACGCACGTATAATGACATGGTGTTATTGGCGACTGGTATTGGCGATAGAATGATTCCAAGGAGTCCATTTTAGATTTTTTGAATGCTCGGTAGAATCTAGGAAATGTAAATTCTAAATTAATTCAGATCACAAGAATTACCACAACCACGCAATAATAGGTAAGATACCTAATAAAGTTGTCCACCGTGTTGTATTTATGACCCGACACGACTCGCTGGGAAACGAGTTCCACCAAACCTGCAAACGCCTCGTACTCGAGAACATTTTCAAAGTGTACCACTTTCGGTGGCCGTTGATCCCACTGGGGGTACGGAAGAGGACGCCCAACAGGCCAGTCATGAATCAGGACTTCCTGCTCTTGGACATCCTCCTCGTCTTCTTGAACCTCTTTCTCCTCATCAACTTCCTTGTGCGCATTTGAACCTTGTTGGGATGGGGTTCTTCGTCTGACTGGGGACTGGTTGTTATAATCGCTTTCATCGGTACTGATACTCTCCGTACTGTCACTCTCTTCATCTTGGTCGCCTCCATCCTCATCATCTGATGATGACGACGAATTCGTCTGGTTGCTATTTTGTTGGGCAGGGGGGTCAAGGCTAACCAGTATTGGGGGGTCATTGGTATTGTTGTGTTTGTCATTGGGTTTGGGTTGTGTACAATTGGAGTTCCGGTCGAGCCGCTGGTTGGAAGTAGTATTATTATTACGACTTCCACCAGAGGGTTGGGTAGATGCTGAGTCCGAATAATTTCTAGTGGGGTGTGCTAGATGAAGGGAGTTAGGTCTTTGTCGCGGCGAGGCTGCAATTTAGGTAATTTTGAAATTTAATATAATACTTGCAATAGCTTAACAATTATGTATATATTTTTGTAATAAAACCTGCGGCGTTGTCGAGTCAGCTTGGCCACTCACGAATCCAACGACTGTTCCTGAGGTTGGCATGTAATGCATTTCTTGCTTCGTTTTGAAATAGTAAATCTTCTTGTTGTTGAAACGATTTCGTCAAATCTGTCAAATTAGTAATGAATTGAAGATGAAGAATGGATTACAGAGAATTTTCCAATTTTGAGTTTAAAGCTTAGAAAATTTCTGCAACTCTTAGGTTCGTAAAGGTCACCTTTGATTGAGCTTTAAACTACTAGTTATATTCGTTAACATTTTTAGCTCTCAACTATTTTTCTGTTAATTGAAGAGTTGCCAAAATTTTCAACCGTGAACTTGACATGTACAACGTACATATCTAGGTAGATACTTACCCATAAAATGGAACCTTCACAAACTTTAAAAAGAAACAGAAAACCTGATTTTCTGTAAAAATTGTTTCGAAATATATCAGAGGTGACCTCTTTCGTATTTGGTTAGATATTCACTTCTTCTTGATGGTCTTGGGAAATGTAGGGTTTGTTTTGTTTACAAATTAATTAGGTTGACACTTGATTTTTTGTTCCGCTGTCGATAATGTCAGACAAATCTGAGTGGGTCAGGTGAGTTGAGCTAGTTATTCCTCAGTTCGATTAATATCCAGTTGCTCTTTTGTAACTGGAATATCAAAAATTTCATTAATTACATAGAATCACATAATAAAAAAGTTTAATTATTTCAGCGAAGTTATTGTAGCATCATTTATGATGATGCTACGGAAAATATTTAACCATAACAAGATGTATAGAAATTGAGAACTTTTTGCATGAAAGCAAGCAATGACTGGGTCTTTCATTCAGGTGACCTCAAACTACTATTAAATATATTCCTCAAACTTAACATTAGTATGAGGTTAATTTTATAAACATTAATCTACACAATCCTCCATTTTGCATTCATTGCAAACTGACATACTTAGGATTTATGAATGGAAAATTTTCCATTAATCAATTTATTTCCAGCAATTGAGACTTTAATGAACATATATTGTACATATAACATATACCTTTATTCTGTCATACAACCATCGTCATTATTAAATAGATGACTGTGGTACTATTTTTAAAAGCTTGATGAATATAATCACAAAATGCCCAAATTCGTCTATAAGATTCTAGCACTAATAAATTTAAGATGTCTCATTACGCCTCACAGAACAAATCGTGAATGCGAGTCAGTAGAAATTCTCAATGATAGATTACTTACTTTGCCTTACTTTGTTTCGTGTCTCAATTTCCTCGCACTGAATTCTCCTCTCTTCTGGTTGCAACGTGTCGTATTTTCTCTTTAAATTGTTTATTGCAGGAAACTACGTTTAATTTATGAGTTAAACTCCTAACAAATTAAAGTATACTTAACGGGTCAATCGAATTGGATTCCATTTTTAAGCTTGAACTGATAACACAACGAAATTAGCAAAAACAATTAAAACTTTGACAAATTGTCAAAACGAAAAAGCTATGAGCTCTGATTTGAGAAAGCTTGTGGAACAGAAGGACAGCGTCAGGCTATCAAACTCGACTGAAGAAGCTTAACAAATGGTGGGTTGTTAAAAGGAAAACTGTGTAAGAGCACTCGGAGGAGGAGGCACAAATGTGGCGTTTACAATTATTGGCGTATGTGTGCAAAGTGACATGTACATATGCATGGGTCGTGTTTATTATAATAATTATTTACCATATGCTGCATCACGTATATAAAAGTTAATGTAATACAAGCAGAATGTTTTCTGAAATACGTGACTATAAGCTCCCTTCCTGGTATGGTACGGACCAAAGTACAATGCAACATATTTTATCAAATAATGTCACGAGAAAGCTAGCATTGTTTGCACTTTGGACTTGATTTGCATGAATACTTTTGGGTATGCAGCATGTTATTTGCTGATATAAAATACAAAAATAAAATGCAGAGTTGCATGTAACAAAATTCTTGTCTTGTGTTATTAGAGGTTAAAAATGTTATCAACGATTTATTTCCGGCCTGACTGCGATGCATTTCTGTCAAAGTCTGTTCATTTACTTAATTCTAAGATGTTCGTCTTCTCATCTTTGCCAGAAAACACTAGAATCACGGGATAACGTGCATACATAAAACGAGTTTTACCTCATTGGATTTGTTGCGCAGATTTGTTTTTATTTTTAACTGTTCATTTGTGCATATGCAAATATACATCAAATGTACATTGATTGTGACCCACAAGGGCATTCCTCATGTAAACAGTAACACGTATGTACATGTGTGAACTATATTTCTCCAAAATGCAAATCAAATTCTTGTGGTAAACTTGTTACCGAAATGCATATGCAATATGCTGCATCTCCTGCATGCATTTTTAGTGCATGGAAGGCCGGAAATGAACTTTCATCCCGTCATTTAAGGCTATATCTCCGAATTCAGCCAGTCAATAATTCTAAATTTAGCTCATTATACATATAATTTGAATAGCAAAGTGCAAGGCTAGTAATAAATGCATACCTACTCACAATACATATTTTTCGTGCTATCGATCATTCTTTTACGTCGTGCACTATCAAGCTATACGCCAAGCAGAAGCACATTAAAAGAAAATGCGTCTTACTCTACAAAAAGTTTATTGTCCATGAAATTGGGTACGTTGTACGTAGAAAAAAACAATGGAACGCTTACGCATCATTTAATTTATGAATGTATGTACTTATATAATTTAAAGCATAAAAAATTACCTTGTAAATTGTGTCGCAATAATTTTTTATGAATAGTTGAGATATATTCACTGACAGGACACTATCATTCGTGGTGTCGGTATCATCGTCACGAAAATTAATGTAATCACAGAGTCACCAAGAATTCTTTGAGCATTAATAAATGTACCCAAATAACCTAAACGAAACTGTTTATTGGGCATAGGTTTTTTCACTGGAGATAAATTACACTTAACACTTCTTACTCCAAATTGCGTAGTTCCGTTTTTCATACACGAATTTAACCTGCTTTTCGGCATCCTAGGCAAATTATGACATCGTTATATGCTTTTTGTTCGTGTTGAAAATTAGCTTGCCACACTGCAATGGTAATTTTTCAATTGGTAATGATTAAACGTTCGAAAAGGGGATTTGAAAATATGTCGTACTCGACTAGCGAGGAGAGTGGAGGGCGAATGAATGTGGAGCACAACATGCTCTCGGGTTTCAGACTTGGCGAAATTCGGACGGACGGAGATAAGACTTGCGCAAGACAAAGACTTACTTGACACATACAACGTACGAACATGACGAATTTTGCAATACCATGAATCACACCTTATTCGTCATTGGGACAGGAATAAAATGCTTTCTGGACACGCAGATTTTTATGCCGCATGGACAGCTCGCAGTTGAACAAGCGTCAATGTTATTAGAATACGGAGGGATGCTATTAATAGCACTTTGGTTATTCTGGTATAGATGAGACATGAAGACAATCGATGTGAATGTATTGAGAAATTGTTTATTGATCGGTATGAATAAATTTGGTACGAGGCCATGATAATATTGGAATATACATGGTCAAATCTGGGTACTAAATACAATTAGAACTATAATTACCTAAATGATAATAATGCTAGAAATAACGCAAAAAATTGAAAAATAGAACTCAGCATAATATGAAATATATTATTGTTCACTCACTTAACATTCATATAAACTAAGGCCTAGTTTAAAATTTGGACAATATAGGTTTCATTTAAAGTAATTTTATTCGTGTACAATAATCTGAACAAAAAACCATGAACTCACTCACAATAAACCTGCGTGTGTGGATTATGATGGATCGTTATATTATTCTTCAAAGTGGTGAATTAAGACGTACTAAATCGTTATCGTTTTTCAATAAAAAATTTTGAGTGAGTGGTTACTGGTTACTTCTTTCTTGCTGGTAAGCATTTCGGGCAATACCACTTCCCCTTTGGTATCTGATTGAGTCCCATACATCCAATGTGGAACCATTCAATGGGACATTCTGGATTATCGCAAGCAATCATTTGGCCGTATGATACTTGATGACAAATGCAATAAGTTGGCTCGTTTGGATCGACGGGCATATCCAATACGTCCCCTGACGATCCAGCAGATCCAGCAGCAGCCTGTTCCACTGCCATAACAATTTCAGACTTTTGTCGTTTGCGAGATGGACTTGCGGATCCGACTTTGTTGCTTTTGTCTTCGGCCTCAGACTTGGACTTTTTAGATTCCTTTTCTTTTTTGCGTCCACCTACAATGAAATTCAATGTAATGGAATGGATCAAATATTACTATATGTTAAACATTTTTCTAAAATAAAAAATTATGAAAAGCTAATAGGATATTATATTTAGCTTACGCTTGCTAGCTGTAGATTGAGGTTGTTCTTCTCTAGGAGATGAGGCAGACTGTCCGCTTCCTCCACCATTTTTTATTTCAGATTCGAACCTAGCAAGATCAGAGTCCAATCTCCGTATATGTTTGTCAACCAACTCATAAGTTTGGATGGCCTAGTAAGTAGATTTCAAATTGAAAGTTAAGGAAAATAGGTCCGAGGTCATGCATATCTCCAGATTTAGTATATTTTATTTTAACTTACAAGTTGTACTTTATCATCTGCATATTCTTTCGCTTTACTATACAGTTTCTATTACAAGGACATGAAAATCATCGTAAGAAGATCCATATTCTAATTCACATCAGGAATGCATTATTTAACAATTTAGTAGTACCTGAATCTTGGACGACAATTCTTTTTTCTTCTCACTGTTTCCAGTTCGTGCCAGTTTTAAATAATCATCCCCGTGTTGGTCAATATCATGCATTACTCTTTGAGCCCTCTCGTCCAAGTCGCGCATCAGGATAAAATTTCTCTGAAGTTCCACAGGAAGCGACTCCAAGCCTAAAAAATAAATTTAAAGTAAAAACAGATGCACACAATCAGTGAATTCCCATTCAATTCACCCTTTAAAACTATAAACCCAGCTCACATTTAATAATAATTTAATAATAATCATTTAATCTAATTTGTTACAATGAGATACTTAATTCCATTAAATGAGATATTACACCTCAAGGAGACATTTCAATCATCAAGTTATCGAAATCGCCAATTTCTCTTTGCCAAGACTTACTTTCTAGATAATGCTCCAAGTAAATTGCAGTTGTCATTTTGTTTGACTTAATGTTTCTTAATTTCACTTAAAGAGTTCACCAACCACACTAACTTATCGTGTTGTTTTGTGATTATTATTGGAAGCTATTTCAACAGCTACTCCTCAGCAGGCCATTAGTGAACTGAGTAATATGCCAGGGATGTCAAATCTTGTAATTAACTACATCATTTTGTAGAATCAGTTCGGAATTTTGGGAATTTTTTGACCAGGAAATGATAAGTTGTGTCGTTTGTTTTGGAGGAGTTGCTTTGTGATGGGGCGGTTAGAGGCGCGTGACGTGTGAGTGGCCGCGGGGCGAGATGAGTCATCTATCAAAAAAACAGTTGTTGAGGAATCACAAAAGTTGAGGAGATCACTGAATCGACACCACTCCTTCCTCGCAACTTCCTGCTTTCACCCATCACAACCACCACCTGTTCCACCACTCACCAACTTTCACCACACCCACATCCTCCCAGGTAAGGTCAACTGACTCACGCCAACTCAATCTCACTTGACAGTTAATACACTTTGCTCTGCAAAATTTTTGCGGTTGGTTCTTGGTTGTTCAAGAAATTATAAACTTTAAATTGAAGACTTCAATTTGAACTTAAAATTTTGAAGTACAAAGTATTCAAATCAGGGAAGAACAAAGTGATGTTAATTAGTAAATATGTAGATTGTTCCGGTGCCATTGAATTGGTGATATAGTTATTGATGATCTGTGGAAAGTTTAGTTAGATAGATTTCTCTCAAATTGTATATAATTAGGATGTTACTCTTTATGTAGGTCAATAGACGGCGAGTCCATCCGGGAAATTGTGTTGTAGTGAAAGAGGGCAAATATGGTAAAATTGTTTGCCATCAGCGTGATTCGACGGCCCACGGAGGATCCAGTGGGAGGACGATGCGTCACGCTTAAAGCCTCTTTCGACCTCGCCTCCTTTGGCTTCTTTCAAAGAGCCAGCGTCCAAGAGTTCCTCTCCTTCTCGTCCACCACAATTGTGGAACGGACGGGACTTGCGACGAGGCAGTCTGTCAAGGAACAAGGTAGAGTGCCGAGTGTAGAGACACACTCATAATAAAATTACCTCAAGTATGCAAACCAAAGTGAAAGTGAAAGTTGTCTCATGCAAAATTTTCAGAATATCTATGCCACGTTTATGTAAGAGGAGACGGCCTGGGTGCGGTTTTGGTTTCCGATGCTGACTACCCACCCCGTGTCGCCCACACCCTCCTCACCAAAGTCTTGGACGACGTGTCCTCCAAAGTTGAGTGGAAAATGGCCAACGCTGAGAGTTTGAAAAACTACAAAGAAATTGATATAGTCCTCGCCAGATATCAAGATCCAAAGCAGGCAGATGCTTTAACGAAAATCCAAGCAGAATTAGATGAAACAAAAATCATCATGGTATTGAATTACTCTTAATTTCAGGAAAATAATAACGATAAACTGATGGCTCATTTGTGTGTATTTTGTTTGCAAATTACAGCATAATACAATTGAAGCTGTCTTAGAACGTGGAGAAAAATTGGATGACTTGGTAGCAAAATCTGATAACCTATCGGCACAGTCAAAAATGTTTTACAAAACGGCCAAGAAGACCAATTCTTGTTGCAACTTTTAGTTACTATTCTTATTTTAGAAGTAATCCAAAAGAAAGTGGTGATTTACGGCGGTGTTGAAAAAAACTCAGTCACGCATGGAAGATCATTATTCTTATTATTATATCCTGGAGAATTGAAAAACCACATACCATGATAAAAACAGTCACTAAATCATTCCGTACTAGTAAACAATCGAGAAGCTAAAACGCTTTATTACGAGTGATCGAGTGCTCGGATATTTATTCTCATTGTACTGACTGACTGAACAGTGTATTTTGATATTCTTACTCTATACTCGCTAGATTTATATATAATGTCATGTTGCATAATAATTTACCTCATTTGCTACTATTATGTTATACCTTATGCATTATTTACCATGTTTCTTGTGTGATTTTTTTGAGTCTTGTATCAACAAATGTAGGCATGTAGGAACACTATATAATGAAATGAATCGACACAGTGAGTGTAAATCGTAGTAGAATTAATTCATATTATGACAAAATGGCCAACATATACATATGTATGTAACTATTGATCGGAAAGTTGTGATTATTTGTAAAATCAAAAAAAATATTACAATGCCGATTTTGAATGCAGAATAACAACATAAAAATAAATATTTTGTTAACTAGCTATATCGCAATTTCTTGTTTAAGATGATAGATTCATTTTTATTTGACCCTTGTCGATTTCTTGGTTACAATGTATGCAGCAATGAAAGCCAGACTACACAATAATACACTGCAAAAATTTGTGTACGTCACAACTTCAGGGTGTTGCTCAACTAATTTTCCAACAATTGCTGGGTATGCCATCCCAACCAGCGATCCAGAAACTAACATAACACAACCCACAAAGTCCGTGAATACTAAATGCCTCTCCATAAAGGAACAGAAACTGGCGTATAATGTCGAAAACCCAAAACCGAGGGTTATACAGGCGCACCATAAGATTTTGGTGGAAAGTCCGAGATAAGCCCACATCAATAAAGTCACATTCCCTACAATCACTAACAGAGCGTTGAAACTAAGGATAATTTGGGGAGAGACTTTGAGAGTGATTAAAATGCCAATGCCCCTTCCAATTGCAAACGCTCCAGTTAAGCCAGTCAAGATGAGTGCTGCTTCTGCTCCGGATAACTTGTTGACACTTCCAAACTGAGCCAGAGTTGGGACAAATTGTAATGTGCACATTTCCATCCCTTGATAAAACCCAAGAAATAGACCGGAAAGGGTGACGAGCAGGATTTTACGAGAATTTGATCCCACGTTGTTGTCGGATTCAGATTGAGTTTTTAATAGTGCATCTGGTTGTGGTAGACTAATTTTATTGCCGTTGTTGTTGCCGTTATCATTCCCACTAATCTTGTGAGCATCTGTGTCTGAACATTCTCGTTCTGGGACGACGTAGGGATAACCGGTGAGTAAGAAGAGTTCGTACAAGACATTCATCAACGCCAACGCACCAACAATGGTAAACGGTATTTTGCTGGAGGAGCTGTAGTCAGTACCAGTATTTGCTTCACTTATTACATCACTGCTAGTGCTGTCTGGAAGAAATGGTCTTGTTAAAAGGGATGGCAAATTAGATCCTAGTGCGAAGCAAAAATGTTGCGCTTGGATGAAGGGTCCAGATTTACTCTGCCACATCTCCATAATCCACACCGTCTGAATGAGAGGTAGAAATAGAGAGTTCATTTCATAAAATTTATCACTGGTTTTAATCACATCAGAAAAATTTCGTTCGAAATGCATAAATCATTGTTCGTGTAGATAAATAATCAAATGTATGAAAAGAACTTGCCTGGGCGGTGTCGTATGCTCCACAACTTAACCCAAGAAAGCCCACACTGACGAACAAGTAAGTGATAGTTGGACAATAAGGGGTTACGAAGAGTGAAAGTGAGATGCCGGAGAAAGCAATGACTACTCCATATTGACGTCGTATTAGTTTCTCGTACATTATGCCACCTAAAAATATGACAAAAATGATCAGAGAGACACAAATGTAGTATTTATTATTTATTGTCTAATACATAAGTACCTAGCATGGCCCCACACAAATACGTCAGCGTCAGCACAACGAATATATTTGACATTGAACCAATATCAGTCTCATATTTCTCACTGAGTTGTACCAACAATGGTGAAAACAAGTTAAAAGCACAACCCTGTGGAATAATGCATAGAAGAAACTTTTATTATTTTTTTAAAGAAAACGGATCATTAGAATTGGCATACAAAATTATTTTGTGTGCAATAAGGCAAGCTTCAAAATATGTAAGTTTTAATTTTGGTTGACAATATATTTGTATGTTCTCTGCAAACGTAAAGGCTTATGTACATTAGCACACGTATTATATATTTGATTGATTTTCATGAAATGCAAATCTTACAAATGTTATACATTCCAGAAATATTGCAGCAGTCGTTAAATACATAACTTTTGCAGAGAGTGGAGGTTTCAACGTTGGTAAATTCGAACTTTCACATTTTGAATTCATCATCTTTCGAACCAATATTTTATTTAAATTTCAGAGAGTTTATATATGTATTTATTACGTTATACTACTTACTATTAGTAAAAGAGAGGAGTTTCCACAACATAAGTACATACATAGTTTAGTTGACAGATTGATGACGTGCCTATTCAATAGAAATAATTGTTTGTGTATCAATTTCTAGTCACTCACAGACCGTCAATCTAGTAAAATAAATGAAATGATACAGGTTAACAAACCACTATCAATCAGTTCAGTTCATACAAAGTAACATAATTTACACATAACCTGTCTTGATCTTGGCAATGATAGAGGTCATGACCATGCATATTCCAGGCACTCTTTATGCTAAGCGCATGCATTTGTAAGTAAATCATAACATAAATCAAATAGAGCATCTTTGCTCTGATTGTTCGTAATTGATGTTTGAAATAATACTTATGACTAAATTTAATCATTTTTAATCTGCCAAATTTCGCGTCAGATATTTGAAATATTCATATACATAGATAGCACTCCATATAAATACTCACATAATGTCAATGCACCCACCGTATTTATCCTTAGTTATATTATATATAAGTATCTATATATGCATTCTTGAAGCTCATCATCTCCTGATAAACCACATGTGTCCAAAGAAAATTCATTCCTAACGAAAAACGAATATCATATCTTGCACCGCTCGCTAGTCGCTGTGTTGCTACTTTCGGCTGAGAATAACTTTAGACTGACATCAACTTTGCATAATCATTTTAAAGAAATAGTAACATGACAGGTAAAGTGTCGACAATGGAAATTGGAGGAGATTTTGTATCAAATCCAATTCCTCAAATCTTGGCCACTCTGGCAGGTATGAAAATATTTGTATATACATGCGCTTACGAAATCGTTGTCATTTTAGGGATCACTGATTTTTTTTCCTATAGTGGCCACGTCGTCTTTCTCGTTGGGTGCAATTATTGCATGGACTTCTCCAAGTATTCCCGACCTTGAGAGAACTGGAAGTTTGGGCATTCTGACCCTTGAAGATAAGTCTTGGATTGCATCATTAGTGACTGTTAGTACACAAACTATGACATTTCTATTTGAGGATAATTTCATAATGCGTTTCTTTGTGGGGCCGTACGTATGTCTCCCGTTACTCATATCTAGATAGGAGCCTTATTATGTGGTCCATTTTCTGGATATATAATAGAAAAATGTGGAAGGAGGAGTAGCTTGCAAATATTTGCAATAATAATGACGATTGGTTGGTGCCTTATGTCCACTGGGCTGAATGTTCTAGTAATGTGTGTAGGAAGGTTTTTAACAGGTTTGTAATATATTACCACAAGTATTGCAACAATGCTACTAACCTAACATTGCAACACTATAATAGGATTTGCTATGGGTGGAAACATTCATATTACGATGGTGTATCTGAGTGAAATCTCGGAAGAAAAGATTCGTGGAATTCTAATGTCACTGACATACATCGAATGTGCCTTAGGAATCCTTTACATGTAAAAACCACTGCATACATAAATACGCCATGAACAGTTATATTACTAAATCGAGAATCTCTGTACCTTTAAATATTTAAATATTTTTCTGACGCAGTTACGTTCTTGGCAGTTTTGTGTCATGGTTCACTCTGACTGTAACCAATATTGTTTTTCCTGTCATCTCGTTTTGTTCTCTCTTTTTTATCCCCGAATCTCCACTGCATCTCATGAACAAAGGGAGAAAGAAGGAGGCAGGCGATGCTTTGATGTGGTTACGACGTGCTGATAGCTTTGAACAAATTGAATCAGAATTTAGAAAGGTACACCAGCAAAGAAAGAAATAAAATTACGTTACGTTAGTGGGAATTCTAAAATTAGAATTTTGTCATGCAGCTTTTAGAAATAAGTCTGCAGCCAACTAGTAAAAATGGAGACGTCATACAAGAAAATTTTTCAGCTTTCACCAGGGGAAATCTAGGCGCTCTTGCTATCGTTGTGGGTCTAATGTTATGTCAACAACTATCTGGGGTAGTGTTTTTGTATTTATTAATAGTCACAATTTTGATAGCAGTGATACTTAAATATTGGTTTCCTTAATTGAACCAGGTGAATGCAGTCGTATTCTATTCACTTTTCATATTCGATACTGCCGGAACAGGGCTGGATCCTAATATGTGCTCAATCATCGTGGGTGTCGTGATATTGGTTTCGGTTTTTATTAACTTAATGCTAATTGATCGAGTTGGTCGGCGAGTGCTTCTTATTGTTTCGCAATTGGGGATGACACTTTCACTCGTTTCTCTCGGGACGTTTTTCTATTTAAAGAAGGAAAATGGGGGCGAAACGCCGCCCGGACTTTCACTCTTGCCCCTGTTCTGTCTGATTTCATTTATGGTCACTTACAACTTTGGAGCTGGTCCTGTGCCGTGGATAATGATGGGGGAACTTCTGCCCATACAAATAAAGAGTAAGATGTATTTTTAGAAGAAATATAAATAAGTTCATATTTTTGAAAGATTATAATTTCATTAAGGATTTGGATGTGCTTTTGCAACTTCGCTCAACTGGGTCCTGGCATTTATTGTTACCAAATACTTTGAAAATTTAGTAGTGCTGCTGGATATTCACATGTGCTACTTTCTATTCGGAGGATTCTGCTTCATAGGTCTAATATTTTGCATCATGTGGGTACCTGAAACTAGAGGCAAAAGTTTGGAAGCCATTCAAATGCTTTATTTTCCCAAATAAATAATGTTATATAAATGCAAGTGTATTTATTGTATCACAAATAACATTCATAACACTTTCATAAAACGCTGTGCCAACGTAACCAGTACGGAACTCGTTGAAATTGTTCACTTTTACTTTCCCAGATGGAAGGGCAGGGAGCATACTATTCAATAAACGTGGCTCTTTGAGAGATTTAATCTCTGAGAACATGCGAACAGTGTCAATTCCAGTTCAGAATTATTTCCTCAGACCTATTGTTTTACAACGAATTGAAATAATTGTCCTGCCGCTAAATTACAGATGAAAGAAAACTCGAAGAAACCAGACTCTCAATGCAAAGAAACATTCATGGGTACGTATTATGTGATGCACTTGCTAAACACCAGACATACTGCGGGTTTTATGGTAGATTGTACCTAGATTTCATCATACTAAATTAAGGAAATGTAAACTAACTTAGAATACTGAACAATGCAGGCATATAAGCACCTTCCTACATACTTAAATACATAACTTTAGTCCTGAATAAGGAAGAAACGGAAATGAAAGAAAATAGTCTTGCTTGTTTTGACAATGTTTCAATTGTAATACGTTATTCCCAACGAATGTGAAAATGACTTTGGCCCTCTTAATTTAATGTGATAATTTATTTAGTGTTCCCGTACATAAGTCGGATGTTGGAAACCCGAAGTAAGTTCATGCTTGTAAGTTCTCTTGAGCAAAATAATGCAAATTATTTTCTGGTTCCGAATTAGATAGCTCTAAATTTTTGATGCATAAGCTCGTTGAACAAATTTCCGTAGAAGTCAAGCTCCATAAATTTCAAGACTAATCAATCTAAAAACATGTTAGAGAAAAACAATCATGAGAATGCAATTTGATAATCCAACACCAATATGCAATTTATAATGGATCGATAAAGTGAAGTGGTCGTTTATTTCTCCAAACATTTAATTTTATGTCAAGTATTCTGTGGAATTTGTATTAAGGTAATACAAGTCAGACCAATACAGATAACAGATATAGAATACTTCGTTTATTTGAACATGTAACATAGTATTACATAAATAGTTGAAACTTCAAATGTAGTATCGATTATAGATTGCATATAGTAGTTCCAATACCCAACGAACCTTTGAATTTTGATACACATAAGAAATTCAGTTAGAATACGGAAATTCTTTTTGCCAATTAGAAAACAGAGATTAAGGTGGCAAAATTGTGTGTTTTGAAAATGGCATCATTTTTAAATTTGATGGATTTTAGAATTTGACCCACCCCGAAGGTATACCACAGATGTGCGATTTGCAATTTAACTAATTCTTCACCCTGGAAGTTTGAAAGATTAAGTTTATGATGGGGTCAACCACGACCTTCAAAAATTTAAAGCATCATTCACTGGAAATAGGCGGATATACATAGTACGTTCTATGGAATAACTGGTTTTGTGCCGATTCAGTTGCAGGATTTCGATCCTATACCATGTTCAAAGTGCACAGGTCGGATGAAGCCTCATTCAATTTGAAGCGTCATGCATCAGGAACTTTTTTCATTATTGAACCCAAGAACCAACATGCTACTTGTTCGATGTATTCGTCTATGACACAAAAAAGAAAGTAGTCCCACCGGATTTGGTTGTATAATTCGGAGGACATTTCAATTTGTTGTTCGTCAATAAAAGGTTCTCATTTCGGACAGGTTGTCTTTATTGCTGCTGCGACGGTTTCGATTTGACTACTCAATTACACGGGAAGTAACAATAGTCCATCGAATCCTTGAAAATAATTCAATACACCGTCCCTCGCAGACATTTGATGCAAACTAGAATTTGGCATTTTTTTCTAGCGCAAGACGATACAAAAAAATCCCTCTGGTTGACCGCTTAAAATATATTCCAAGCAATCCAAATACTCAGCAGTTTTTTTTCCTGAGTGCAGGCGCCATCGGCAGTATATTTACATTTTGGAGATGACACTTTCCCATGAAGCTGAAGAGTGATGAGATGTCACAGTGCCAACCACATCGGTACAAGCACTTGGTAGTGAAACCTGCCATCAATGTCCCCCGATTCAATGGTGGAAGAAAGTGAACCATGCTTTGAATACGTGAAAAGTTACAAAGTCTCAAGAGCGTCTAGGACGTGTAATACATGAACCCAAGTTATTCCATTATCCTTTACAACTTCACTGGCGCATCAGCCCTTATGATATGTCCAATGTGCCAAAATCGATAAATGACGGACCCATTACCAGACAAAGACGACGCCATCCTCCAGTAGATATGTGTCTACTTGAAGTGAACATGAATTGCAGATATTGCATATGTACATAAGTACAATTATGTCCAAATGTTTCTTCATTAGCCAAGTAGTTCAACTTGTGTTTGGAACACAAATCGCTATTGGGAACAAGTACACCTACGGAATTAGTCTCGGCATAACATGTTAATGGAAGATTCAAAATGAGACAACAGTTGGCCTGCAAAATGATACAATTAAAAGTAAGCTGATAATAACTAACCACGGAATAACTACATCTCCAAGAGTATTTAACTGTTAATGCGTGTTACGATTTCATCTCACTTTTACAGCCACGTCTTGATTCATTACCACAGTGTTGATGGGGGATCAGTCTCATATTTACTTTCTCCGCTTTCGAGTCCACTCTCATATGACTATTAAACGAGTAATAGTATCTTCCCCTGCTCATTTTACAAAGCAAAGTCATCCTGACAGTTCTTGTCGTCCCCCATTTGTACAAATAATTCACTTATGTCAAGCTCCATTCCACTCACCACACTTTCTCCAACAACCACCATTTCCAGTTCTGTTCTCCGCTTTCCCATGTAGATCTCTGCAGTAAGACAATCTTTCTCCAACAGGTCTGCAATTGTAGATGACGTTGGTAGTTTTGGTACTAAAGTAGCATAACCCAAAAAAATGTGCTCCAATCTGTCTCAATAACTTAAGGACTTCAATGGCAAGAGTTCTTTTCATGATGATCCATTTCAGCGTATGCCCTACTGCGCCGTTCCCTGTACTTGATCTTATTATAAAACTGAGACTCGAATTTGCAACATATGGATCCTTTCAACCCACTTTCGACATGAATTTTGTAAAAGTTGCAAAGTTCAATGCGTGCAAGGCATCGTTCCAATTTTGTGTGGCAGAGAGCTTAAACAACACTTCCATAAATTGCGTTCTTTTCCGACGCTGTCCAATGTCCAAACGTCGACATGAAAACCTCTTTAATAAAACAAACGATACTTTGTCCTCGTCAACTTCAGTGTTCGGCATGGGTTATTTGTTTTAAGAAAATCCAATTAAAATTAGTTTCGCAACGCCTTGTGCGTGGACAAATCTACCATTTTTATTTAAAAAATGGCATCCAAAACGTGTCCACGCGGCTGCGGCTAAACAGTTTTGTGTGGTGATGGCATAATTGTTTATTACTAAATTATTCAATGATTAATGAACATAAATAGTACAGTATATTATGTGTAAATGCATCCAGTTTTGCATTGTCATACAGCTACATACATAAACTAGCAATATATTGTAAAAATAAAGGTGAGGTGCTTCAATATCTTGGAGCACCTCAGTTAATCATTGCCGATGAGACAGGGAGGAACGTTCTAGATGGTTTGAGATTATAGTAGATTTGAAACTTGAGAGTTGAACAACTGTTTGTTTAAGAAAATGAGATGTTGAACTTCTTCCTCGTCTTGGGTTAACGCTTAATCAAATAGTAGAGGGATTTCATCAGTTATACGAAACTACGTATAAGAACTAATTGTAAATTAAGTTTTTAGAAGATTGCGACGGACGATTTTCCGTGTTCGTATTTGTCTTTGACCTTCTTGATGAACGTTAAACTTTGTCCATCTCCAAGTGCAGTAGACGATGATCAACTCGGTGATGAGTAGACTATGCACATACGTAAATATCTAATTAAGTATACTACATTTGTGTGAATGTTTAATTTAGAGGCTACAATATTTACATAAATGTATGGTTGGTTAGAAGAAATATAAAGGTGTTGTGGCAAGATTGAAAATTATTCCGTCGTTGTCCCCTGCTCGACTACACACAAGAAAGTAGACAATTGACCAAAATGCTATTCTCCACCAGCCAATCGGGCATTTCACTCTCAGTCCCTGTTTGCACTTTCACCACCAAAGATTCGTTTTGATCCTCTTATTCCTTCTCCGGCTCCTCAACCAAACACCCATTGCAATGCAATAAGCAACTTTTAGAAGGAGGATTGTGGACCAAATTATTGATCGACATAATTTTCTATATTTATCCGCCTTTGCCTGTTTTGCTGTGCGTTGCATACTTGACAAACCATTCACATGGCATGCGTTATAAATAAATTTCACAATCAACAAAATTAACTTTGTCGAGAATATGTACAAATCACTACGAAATTCACAATTGAGAAAATCTCTGCAGTACAATGTTACATGCATTCATTCAAATTGTGGTCAGTTGTTTCCCCATTGTTCTGAATTCTGCTACAGAAAGAGAAAGTTGAACATCAATCCTACTTTTTGCTTGTTTGGTTTGGACTGACTGCATCCATATTAATATTGGAAGACTTCCCTCCTACTCCTCTCCCTCGAATGGCTTGCCAAGTGTTCGGATGGAAAAACAGACGCCATTTGTATGACCACTCGAACTTGTCAGTGAGGGATGGGATAGCATCAATCAAGACTAAACTACTTGGAAGAGACTGGGAGAGACCACTTCGTCAGAGAGATGGATTTGCGGATTAGTTTTACTCGCATAGTTTAAACGATCGAATACGAGAAAGGAGGACTCGCTCGAAAGGAAATAATGGACAAATACCAACTACTGGAGCCGTCTCAATTTTAACGTCATTCCAGCTCAGCAAAAAATTTGTGCATGTAACTTGCCGCAGATATGAGCTAAAAACGAGTTTCTGGTTAAACTGCCCTCGCCACTTTCTCTCAAACTGTCCGCAGTCCATTTCGTTATTGTATTATTCATGACGTCGTTTGTTTCATACATGTTTTTGTTCAAGTATACGTTAAGATGGGAAAATGGATTGAAATATGAAAAGAAGGCCGATTCATATCTTATTTATGAATAAGGACACATAAGAAATTCAAATAAGATAAAAAAATCCTTTCTTCTTTTCGCCGTATGATTTCTGAAATTCTTTATTATTTTAATGTATGTAACAGTTAACGAAGAATGTTCTAAGATGACAGCATAATTAATTGATTTGATTACATACAAAATGGCCACAAATAAACAGCAGGGAGATTTTCTGCCAATTATCGAAACCGTCCAGATAAGAGTGACAAAGGATATTGCCGATTTGAGTGCTTCAAGTTACATAAATGCGCATAACCTACAAAAGTTTTTTTTTCCTCTTCACGCCACCACTTAACTTTTCAGACTGAGCTGGTTTATGCCATCATAAACCTAATAAGCTTATTTTTGGTTTTCCGTTTACAAAGAATTTACTAAACTCTTTTATATCAATATTTTTTTTAGTGAGGCAAATACCTAACAACCAAAAAAAATTACTAAGTATGCATTTACCCCACTCAAAAAAAGTGACATAAATCGATTTCTCGGCCATTTCTTAACCGATTTTGATGAAATTTTGCACAGATCATTGTTAAGTAATTTAGAAAAGATGTGCTAGTCGACTTGGCGAATTTTTGATTTTTACCCAAGTTATGTGCCAAAATGTGCAAAAATTTTCCCCTGAAAACATATTTATTTTTATGATTCATAAGTGGTGTATCTCAGCATGCTCGCTTATTGAAAATATTTTAGTTAATGTCATTCCGGACATTTTAAGCGCAAAATGACCTAAATCGGTTGAGAAATAACGGCGTTATTCAAGTTTGAAAATCAAAAATTTAATAAAAATATTCAGGGTGCCGATAATAACGGCGGTTGTGCAGTAAAAATAATGTCTTTGACAACCAATTACAAGTTTTAAATAAACAAGGTCCCAAAAAGTGGGAAATCTTAGTGAGGAAGTGCAATTACAGCTAATAAGTAAATTTAGATTGCATAATTTTTGCATCACCGCTCTCGGTGCCATTCTTACTTTACATTTTTACCGAGAGCGGTGAAGCAAAAATTATGCAACCTAAATTTACTTATTAGCTGTAATTGCACTTCCTCACTAAGATTTCCCACTTTTTGGGACCTTGTTTATAACATAAAATTGTCGCTTGAAAGATGCAAAGTGTAATTTTATACATCAACTGTGTAAGCTAAACTTGAAGCAAACAACTAAAGAAGGAGTGTTCTAGTCCCAAATGAAAAAAATCCATATTCAATTCTAAGTAGAAATTGAGATAACTTAATTTCTCCAGTTCATCAATGTTAGGGTAGCGTATCATGCAGGTATTATTTATTGCTCGAGTTTTGATTACATTGAAAATTCAATCGTCGCAAGAAAGGTTACTTTCACCCCCAACCATCCAAATTCAGTGTAAATATACCTTGATGTACAAATTGGAGCGGGACTAATGCTACATTTTCACTGACAATGTAGAGTTTCCTGATGGTTGGAAGAACGGAGGACAAATTGTGCTGGGAGGAGGGAGAGAAAGAGTAAATTTCTTAATCAGAAGATATATTCGACATGAAAGAGGAACGCTACCCACCGTCCCACGCTCGCTTTCACCACCACCACCACCACCACCGCCACCATTATGGCCACAGTGGGAAAAAAGCAGAGAAGCGTGGTTGCCTACGCAGAGGCAGAGAAAGTGGAGAAAGCAGCGGAGAAAGCATAGCTTCCTCAGATGCGATGGGATGTTCTCTGGTCTGATCCATCTCCAGTCTGCCTCAGTCGGGTGACGAGGATCCGGCTTCCTATAAGAGGCCGCTCAATGTGGCCCTGTCGTCTCAATTGTAGTTATCTGGTCGTATCGTCAACAACAAATCCAAGGGTCCCATCAACAGCATCCACACCCTGTACACACACTTCCTCCAGTCTCAACCTTCCTGACAGTCTTTGATCCATTTCGGTAAGTCAAGTACTGTTACTTTTAGGAAATTTTGGATTTGCACCTTCAAAAAACGAGGTTTCATTTAAGATTTAAGCGTATTTTCTATTATTTTCGAAAAATAAAGACAAACGTTTATAGCAATATTTTATAGTATCATTTCATAGCATTGACATACATTGCAAATTAGCAGTTTTCTACCACATTGGCACATTCTGCTAAAGATACGTTGCTAAATTGTATTCAGGAATATCCCTCTAAACAAATAGGCACGAAATATACTAATCAGAAACGGCAGTGCGGAGGTTCAACGACAGACAGGTGAATACATGTCAGGTATTATATGACGTGTATCTCCGCTCATTTGTGTCAGTTCTTTTGTCAGAAAATCCAGAAACATGGTATGATTTTATATAATTCTCGCAAAATATAATAAACTAATTTGTTGTATTCGTGTCTTTCATTCGTACATTGGGTAGCTTTTATCGAAAATGTATTGCATTCCATCGATTTGTGTGTATCCCTGCAATATATTTCTCCAATTAATTATGCAGCAGTTCGCATAAAAAGAACGGAGGAAAGGCAATTCCTCGGATCACGAATGACTAAACTAACTTTCTCCTAAAAGGACAAAACACATTTATTTCCCTGCATGCATCTACCCACGTCGTGTGGTCAATGTTTTATAATCGACCAGCAAGCGTTTGTAAGGGAATTGTCCAAACAAACAAAACCATTTATGTATCGGGCTAAAGTGTATTAAACATTCGATTCGCTGACAATATAACAAATTAACTCGTACCACACGGTTTAATGCATCGTCCGCTTTGGGTGTACTACATATATTACTGTCCTCTCATTCCCCAGTTTCAGTGTAACCTTCTCCAGCTACAGGTTCACAAATAACGGATAAATTGGATATTTCAATTTCCTATTTGCATACTTGTTGAAGTCAAGAATTTACTTGAAAAGCGATAACAATTTAGACTTTGAACTTGAGGTTTTGTTAAAAATTCATCTTTTCAATTCGGAAAAGGAAGGTTCGTATTTTGAATATATAATGATTAACCTTACAAAAAGGGCACACTGATTAACCTCGCACTTCAAATTGCATGGCGAAGAAAGTTTGCTTGCTTATTTGTAGGTTTTTAGCTATTGGGCACTCCATCCCATTTCAATTATCGTTGAATGAACCATCAATTCGAAAAGTTTTCAGACCCACAAGTTTGAATTCAATTCTGATTCTTTACAAATTTTGAGAAGTGCTTAAGATATTTGACGTTTATGACTTATTCTTTCCTTAAGATTTCAATTTATTTTTTAAGGGGCATTTAGCGTCAAATCTGGCCTCTTTTTTTTACCAGAAGTAGCAAAACTTTTTTGTATATGGAATTATGGCAAATTGTTATTATTGTCATATCAGTAACTGAATTCTGTCGAATGTTCTGTTGTTAAATTAACATTCAACTTTTCATAAAAAAGGTGGCCGTAATCGCATATCAATAAATGTACTTTTCATATTTTCACTAACAAATTGCACTCAAAATTTGAGCATACATGTATTTATAACCTGGGTAAAAGAGTCCAAAATTGTCGTCTCAAATTGAACCGTGCCCTAAAAGAAAGCAGTTGGGTTTCTTCTTGGGCAAACGGGGGCTCAGCGTCACATTTGTTTGACATTCTCCACGCACCAAAATAGTTATCCGAGATTGAAGAGTAGGCCACAGGGGTCGGTGGTTGTTAGGTTAGAGGAGAGGGACAAAAGGTATATGTACGATCACAGAGATCTCATTTGAAGCCGGAAGACGAAGGTTACTTGTCCCTTGGGCATCTCCCAGAAGGATAAAGATTGAAGATTTGAGCGAATAACAAATCTGTCCAAAAAATTTGGCAAGACAAGGAGCCTCAAAAGGATATTGCAGTAATAGTTGAGACACAAAAAGGACCATGCAAGGTTTCTAGTGCTTAAAACCATTCATTTTTACAGTTTGTCTCACTTTCCCCCATTGTTGCATCCATGCAAAGATTATTTCTCATCATTGAGTTGGAAACACTGGCTTTGGTCTTGTCTCCCAAAAGAGAAAGTTGGAGATTCTACATTTGATTCTAGTAGTTTGAGCTCCTTAAACCTCGCAATTTGTTTGATAAGATTACCATTCTCGCTTGACAGTCCTTGTTAGTTTAAATATGGGATTTGTGGCGAGCAACATTATGGTTGAAACTTTTCTTTTAGATTTATATCATCAAAGAACCATTTCGTTTGTATGTAGATATGAATGTCTTCACGATTTAAAAGTTGTCGGTTGTCTCCTTAATTGTGTGAGTGGGTGGTTCATTGTGGTTTCTTTAACCCAAGAAATTCACCTAATTAAATTGGAATTAGTCAAGCCAAACTTTCAAAGATTTAGGTTTAAGAGAGAATCATAGAACCCCTTTTTCCCAGTGGAAAACCAATCTTGAGATTTGGAAGGAAAGGAAATGACTGTTGAAAGATGTCAATGGAAAGCGGAATGTAAAAATAATAAGAAAATCAAAGCAAAACTTTACTGCATTACGACCACCGTTTCTGGGGCATTACAAGTTTTTTTCAGCCCACCTGCATGTGAAACATAAAGGAACTAGTCGATTCTCTTTTCTCAAAGGTATTTGAATTTGCATTAAATTTGAGCTTGTTTTCTCCAGCGGAGGGAGAAACTCTTCTCATTCAATGCAACCTGGGATGAGATCAAAACGAGTCCAACAGTTAAAGACACTTAAACAAGTAGGAAAGCCAATGAAGGAAAATATGTACCTATGCAGCTGTGCTATTTCTTGATGACGGGAAAAGAGCGTCACTACTTATTGTTCGTAATTCCTTGTAATACTTTGAAATGGTCTGAGCTGGTAACAATGCTGCATGCAACAGTGAATGCAGGAAATACGCAACCCACGAGCTCCAACCAGTTCACAATGAGTTGAAATGGAGAAACCTAAAGTTCATGTAAATTAGCCCCACCCGGACATCGTCCCTGTCTTCTTCACTATCCGTCTTTGTCAAAGTTGCTACTTTTGCGTAGTTTCACTGCATGTCTTCACTCCTTCGCATTCTTGTTTCACGGGTGCAAAGGGCATGGGAAACTGCTTGATGAAAGCCACATCCTAATCTAATGAAACATCTTTTGACGTAGGTTGCACAAACAAATGGCCAGAAGAAGGTGGTCAAATGAATGAGTGGTAAAAGCGAGAAAGGTTCCTCGTCACGTCTTTGTGTGATTGACAAGATTGACATTACATGTGGGCTTCAGATCGGGAGGGGAGCTTGCGAGGTTGATAATAACAGATCTCGATGCCCTTTGGATATGTGATAGGGTCTCATGAGTGTACTAAAACCCTGAAGTGGTTTGACTCCATGGCCACATTGCTCACTGTGCACGTACACTCAGAATTTCTACATGCCAAGTCTAGTGCTGGACACAATGAGCATTGTGAGCATTATGTTCAGCAAGGAGCCGTTGTAATTTTTCAGCTTTGATCCCTTTTTTGAAAAAAGACACAAAATCAATTTTACCTTGAGACAAATGTCAAATCTTATTTATACATTTTATTTATTCTGCAAAGTCAAGAATAATAAGTGTAAAAAAAGTGGCGTCGTCGAGCGAGGACTTTCCCCTCCTTTGTGTATTTGTATAGAAAAATTTATCAATGAGAAGCACTGTTGGCGTACTTGCTTTTAAGCCCTCTTCACACCAAGATTTGGATGGCACCGACATCAATGGCATGCAGTCAAAATCAGTAGTGTGAAATACAAACCGGCGTGGCCAGGGATTCTGTTCATCGTTTTCCTCGATGTCGGTGCTGCAGTTTTTCCAATTAGAAAAATGAATTGACAGAGCTGCAGCAGAAAAAACGGAGCGTGCTGATTGGCTTAACCTCCGTCTCAGCTTGCACTCCGCGCGAATTTCAAATTATTTTTTGATTATTTTTTATTCTCTGCCCCTGATTTTTGCCGATAATTCTTCTAAACTGCTTAATATTTCATTATTTATCAATTTAAAATCGAAAATGAGCTTCCAATTATTAGTGACGGCAAATGAAATCTTCGAGAATTCTTAAAATGACTGTAAAGAGGCTAAAACTAAAGAAGTTAAAAATTTCTGCAATAACCGATTTGTAAATATAGGTTCATATTTTCCGCTGTGCTGAGCAGTATTTAGTCTCACAGAAACTGCTCATTTATAGGTGTCATAACATTCTGCCGTGTGAACGATTCACAATTTTTCTGCCACTGACACCTATGCCACAAGTTTCGTGTTGCATCCAAATCTTGGTGTGAAGAGGGCTTTAGTGTGGAGTGAAGGGGCAACTTGCTACATGCGGAGAAAATATTTTGGCAGATGACAAGTCAACAATAAATGCTGTTCAGAAGCAAGTTACGCACTTCGTGGTGGGGATTACCTGTGGCATTACTGCATTACGATGTACACATCTACGTATGTACGTACGAGTCCACGCACGAATGCCATTTTTGTTGAAAGAGAAAACTGCTTTCTGGATTTGGGCTAAAGTCGCTTTTTATAAGCTTTCTTTTACAGTATATATTTGTATCCATATCGTTGTAGAGTGGGAGGCTGGCAAAAGTTGTAAAGGATGAAGGCGAATTTTATTATTTATATTCCTAAACTATAAGAAAGCAGGATACGAGAAAGACGTTTTATTGTTTATACCTTCCTTTTTGTGTTATTGAAATAAGAGAGTTTAAAAGGATTGCGCAGAGGAGTAGGGTCAGAAATTGTGGTATGAAAATATTTTTGTCAACCTTAGTTCATCCTTTACAATTTCAATCTTTCAGTTAATCGTGAACATGGAAGAGTCAATTGTTTTACCAAGTTTTTACAATTTGTCAGTAAATCCGATATTTCATTTTGCCTTTTGGAGTCATACAATATTTTCATATAGATAGAATAAGAAATAGGTGTTGCCTGGTGTAGGCGGTGTACGCCAAAAGCAATCATAATAAAAGAAGGGAAATGTGTTTCCATTTCTCAAATTTTTGGGTTGGATGCGTAGGAGTAATAAATATGAAAACGATATAGCTGACTACAATATCAGTCGATTATAAAGAAAATATTTTGCATAATTTTCCTTGTGAGGATCTCAATATGCCCCTGGGCTCATTATTTAAATGTAAACGGATGTTTTTCATAAAGAAGGGTCCCAATTCAACTCTCACGATTGTTCATTTTAAATAAATATTCTGCTCTATATGATCTGGGAAAACACATTTGCAACCGTTCAGTAAAACGGTTCAGTAAAATATGGTAATTGGCTCGATCTTTCTCATGCAATATAGTAAGACACAAATAAGAAGTTCTTGTAGGCACTGCATGTTCACATCAAAAGTCGATGTCACTGATAAAAGCCATTAACTATTGAGCCCATGAGGAAACCTGTCGCCTACAAGATCCACTTCCATTCACCACACATCCGAAATCATTATTTCACTCGACGGTGAATCACCAATCGCCAGCGACATTTCATATTCTGTCCCTACGAACCGAGACGGTGTAGCTACTTTGCTTGTCACATTGTATTCACTTGGGCCCCAGCTGCAGAAGGAGCATGGAGAAAGTGGTGGTGAATTTCAGATCAGGATATTTTCATGATGTAGGCAAATAGTATTTCATGGGAGAGACTGATGGGAACTAGGACGGCATGTGCCGAAGGTCGATAAGTGTTTACCGTAGTGGATTCCATCTCCAATGCTGGCTCCATGTGTGAAATTTCATTTTAATAATGCTATCACCTGCCCGCAGGGATTGAGCCGTTACAAGCTCAACTTTTACATGCATACACGTCCTATTTTCCGTCTGAGAAATGGATACTTTTATTCATAATCTTGTCCTCTAAAATTTGCTACGCACGTAAGAATTTTTTAACAAATACTAAAACATGTTGATTTGCAGGTAAATATTCAGGAGGTAGTGTCTTCAGTGTAACTATATGACTTGCATATTTAGTTGCGTTCGAGCATTCTTACCGTTTGTAACAACTGACTTGTGCAAAGTCTACTTGCGATTTTTCCACAGCAGTAATACTGCAAAACATGAAAGTTTGCGTAGTGCAAAATTTTATCCTCTTATCCTGACAGGAATAATTATATGAATCGAATCTAAGGTAATTTCCCTGAAGCGTGCTTTCTCTGAATGAGAAATGTGGCATGGATGAAAAATTGACAAGAAATGCCTTTTGATATTTTCATATTTAATAATCAAATGATACTCCGAGTTCTATAAAGTATACTTACTTGATTAGTTAATAATTGAGTACTGCACTTAATCCTTAATTTTTTGATTTGGTCAAACTGGAAAATTGTCCATTCATTCATGGGTATATGCACAATACTTGCGTCATGACCTTCGTTAGAAGCTCTGCGTAGTGCTCTTGGTCTAGAAAACACTCGACGAATCATTGTAAATAATTTACAAATATGATATCCTTAGGCTAGAAAAGAGAATGCAATTGAATATGTATGCACTGATCCTGAATGCTGCAATATTCCCATCAAAGTTCTCATATCTAGATATAATTCTGTGTGGACACTGTACAACGCCTACATACATAGTTTTGCGTAATAGTAGGCAATGTGAAAAAGATGGAAATACGTTTTAACAATGAATATCTTAATACGGCCCTTGAGTTGAATTTGCAAACCTCCTGGACCAGGAGGTTTGCTTCAAAATTCTAATTTGGAAAAGTTATTGTCGCCAATGTTCACAGGCTGTTATCAAGTGTTTACTAAACCTCGGGAGGTATGGGATGAGACCTATTAGAACTTTGCTTTTAACTTTTCCATCCCGTTACGACGACGACTTTTAAGGGAAACTTGTGGTGGGATTAATTGGGTAGGATGCGCCCACTTTATATTCCTAAAAAGACCAGTCTATAGTTTTCCCAGTGTCGTAAAGAAATAATGGAAATGAAGTTACTTTCCAAACTTTAATATCCCACAGTTTCTGGAAACTATTTGGCGTCATCATCGTCACCAAATCACTTGCTCTGCTAAATAATACTTTCATCCTGGCTAAAAATTTGCAAACTAGAAAGGTTTTACCTTATTTCACTTACGGCGTGTGTGAGTAGAGTACACATTAGAAATTTTTCACCCATAAAAATTATCTGTATCCTCATAAAACTCATCTGCGTACATACGTATTGTTCATCTCGTCACAGTTCCTGTTCATAAGTTGTGTATACCCATCGAAGAGACACTAAATTAAATTAAGTGATATTACATAACCATCGAATTGTGTCCTTATTTCTCACAGATTTTTATCTTAATTTATCGCTCATAACACTTGATGCCGATTTTCCGATTACTTTGCATAATCTGCATAAGATAAAAATATGGAAAAGTATCATAATTCTGTACATTCGGTTACATTGTCATTTACAAGAAGGAACTTTATCCCTTGTCGAGAAATTCCTGCAAAAATATTCCTGGTTACACATAAATATATTTTTCTTCTGGTAGAATAAAGGTAAACTGTTTTTAGCTTTATTTAGTTGTTAGACCTTGGAGTCCCTCCTACACAGGTTATTTAGCGACAAAAGTTGTCGCGAAACCCGTCAGGACAGATTTCCATTACACAAGTTAACCTGGTCTGGCATTGTTGAACGCGTCTGTTTGCTTAGACGCGAGTAAGTAATAAAGAGAAAGTTTTATTAGAAGTTTGCCTCGTGGTTAACAATAAACGCAAGTGCTGTTCGGCCTTTCATACGAGCGAATGAGTGACAGACAACCTTTCCTTTATTGCAGATTTCGGAACCATGGAGTACGGAAAAACCATTCAGATCATCGGAGTCGTTCTTTGTGTCCTTCTCGTCGTAACCGAGATTTATTCCTTGCCTGCATACTCGAGTGAGGATTATGATCAAGGTGAGCACAGATTTTTTATATGAAAACTGATTATTTATGCATTATTCACTCTCATCAAGTTACTCTTCATACTTGGATAATAGATTTGCTTTACATCATTAATGGTGAAGGTCACAACTATTCAATCGTGATTTAATATGTTTCGACTAATGACCAAAACAGGAGATGAACATTGTGCGGAATGGAGCAAATAATTATAATTCAGCCGTTCATGCATGATAATGATATGAAACTCGTAACTTGAGTGAATCGATTTAATGACTTTCATAAAGATTGGTTACATATCTATCTCGCACAAAACAAATATTTCACCCCAGAATAATTTCAGAAATAATTATGATAATTTTGCCAAGAAAATATGACTAGAGTTGTTTAAGCTGGATGACATTCAAAATATATTTTTTGTTTTTGTTGTCAATGCGAAAATGAGAATTTCGCCAGATTTATATGTTTGCATGGTCTAATCTTGTAAGACAGCTAGTTAAATAATATTCGTAATGGTGGCAATAAAGAACAAAATATTAATAAAAATGGGTTAAAAGGCCCATTGGAACCAAGTGATAAACATGAAAGTATATTTGGGGCACGCTGAATCTCGGAGCATTTTCAATAAAGAAAATAGAGTTTTGTGATTTATCCACCAGTTGACATTTATTGTGAGGAGTAACAATATTGCCAGCCTATTTTTATTTTTGCGACAGATGAAAAATGATTTTTTTCTGACTCTTGGATTTTCTTACGACTTACATAATCCAATATTATGGCTGCACGGAGACCAGCCCACACGTTATTGAATATTAACATCATTTTAAAACAGAAAGAGTTTCATAGATATATTGCGTATTTTCTGCCACCCATGAAAAGGGAAATTTGAGTTTTCTAGCAGTTCTACACAGTACTGACCGTAATGGTAATAAATACGTAGTTATAACACATATTTGATATTCATTTCTGCTGGGATAAAGAGATTTAAGTATTTACTTGCACATTCTAAGATAGTTTTTAGCAGGTGAAAATAGGATCTGAACTGAATGTAAGTATCTATGTTATGTCGCCGTCCGTATTTAGCATGTTAATTGAATTTCACGTCACTTCAACTTTATTCGCAAGCAAATAATACATATGTGCAAAGTGAACTTATGTGCTTAAGAGAAGTATTTACTTATTTCTATGAGAAAATTCCACCTTGGATCAAGGTCCTTGATGTTCAATCCGACGATGAGGCAGGCGGGTGATAAACGCCCTCGACAAAGCTCAAGGCACTCATGAGCCCCTGCATAGGATAGCAGTGATCATTATCAGATCATATTCCAACCTGCCAATCTATTTAGCAATCTATTTACCCACAGCAATTATCAAATAAGATCATGTAGGAACGAAGGCTCCTGCATGCCTATACATAATTTCCTGTTCAGAAGGAATCTACTCCACTGCCAACCCAGATCTAAATAAATTTGTATATGTCCGATCGAGTCAGAATATTTTTCGTCATTAAGAAGGATTATTTACGTCATAACGTTCCTCGAAATGCCGCAAGGGAGACCTGTTGAAACTCACAAATACATAAGTAGTTTTGAAATTTAGGAGCTTATACCCCTTCACTTTGAAAAGGAAGATAAAAACAAATTGCAAATATTAATGATGTCAGGAATACTTATTAGAGCCCAATTCTGCGAAAATTATCCATTTTGCAAAGTACACGTGTAATGGCTCATATGTAACTCGTGATATTGAACAAGGCCTTCGAAGCGACACCAATTTCATGGATCCCTCATGAAAAATTATGTGTCTCCTTCCTGTTAGCATGTCCATGTAATTGGGAAATGATTAGGTTGAAGCCAAAACAAAATGACAAAAAACGGACGTTATCCACTCCATCATTGTCATTGCCCATAATGTCGTTGGTTGATACTCCTAATACGGCTATTACCGCAACGATTTTATACATTATCAGCATTACCTGAACGAAATGGAGAATAAAATTGTGTTGCATTTATCAACTCGAGTTCGAACTGGTTGAATCGTGGAGGTAAGTCATGGCTTTAGGCAAAAAATACGGGAGGAAAATCTTTTGCACCGACGAAATCCAATTTACACCTATGAATGAGAAAACTTTCATCTCCTGGCACGTCTGAGGATTTAACAGAGTTTTGTCCGCGACGTCTACAATCCTGCCTCATGTGATTTTCCTAAACAATGTTTGCTGTCTTTTTTCTTGTCACACTCGGGTAGTTCTGGGCGTGGAAGGTTGTAAGCCAGTTAACTCTGGAGCTCGTAACATCAACATATTCTGTCATGTCATCCTAGCGTTGCTAACATAATTATGTACATGCAAAGGTGAAATTCTTCATCGTATGCATACATAGTTTCTTCTTTAAACAGAAGATGCAAATGAAATTAGATCTTACTGTCACTTTATCAAATCTTAAGACTGACGACTTTCTTCTTCTCTTAAATTGCATTCATCCAATTACTTTTGTAAGTATGAGACAAATTATTTACTTCGACATTACGGCTCTACTTTGAATGTTTGCAAAAATTAATTAATTTGGGTATACGTGTATGCATAACATATTTTTCTACTTTTTGTAAAATATGGTTGGGTAAGCACATCGATTTGAACTTGATGTTTTAATGCCTATTTGGATTGAATTTATTGATTCTTAACCAACAGTCTCATATTCTAAATATTTTAAAACTAAAACGAGCTTATTAACTAACAATAAGTTTCAATGGGAAATTGTAATCAAATTAGTATAAATTCGTAAAGAAAGCAATATTTTATGCATAAAACGGACAACTTCTACTGGTTTAGTACATACATAGGTTTATATTCTACTCCCTGCTGGATAAATAGGATACATATCTACATGAAATAAATATGCAGCATTTATTACAAATATCATTCAAAATAAGGATTTTGTAATTCGTGTGACTCGCACGATTACTTTTTTTTATTAGAAATACTTTTCCATTGGTTGGTTCAATCATCGAATAAAGCGAAAAATCTATCTTGACAGACAGCTGCCAGAAGTGGATTATGGAAATGAGAAAACAAAATAAAAATGTTTGTGTCATGTTTCGTATGAATACATGTTTCCGGAGGGAGAAAGATCAAAATCAAGACTAGTCATAAACATCATAACTCACAGTTGTATGTATTACATAAATAAACGCGCTGCAGAAAATTACGAGTGACAGGAGTTGCAATGCGGAAAGTAACAAAAGCGTCAGAAATAAATTGAAGAAATGCATTTAATGATGCTGTCAAATTGGACGGTCGTTTTTTAGTCTGTAGAAATATAAAATGCTCAATCATGTAATAAAACTTGATTTTGTAGGAAAAGAGACCTACATACATAATCCAGATTGCCGAGAGAAAGTCAGGAGACGGCATAAAGTTGGTATTAGTCATACACAAGCTGAAAAAACCTATCTCTAGATTCCAGACTCGAATTTACTCCATTTTTCACTACATAAGCCTTGTTTATTATTTGTACAGTATTTGCTCAATAACAATTCCAACTTTCAATCTTCACAACTCATTATTCCTTGAGCAACTGACAATGAGTGAAATATATCACTTGCAGTGTTGAACACACTATTGATGGCAGAATTGAGCTCAAGGAAACAATCTTGATATTATAAACTGAGAATGCGTGGTTGATTATATTCTTAAATGCAGGGCAGACATGAACTAGGTCTGTAACTACTTAACGTTGATTCTAAACAGTCTTCCGAAAGTCTTTAACCTTTTGTGTTTCCGATACAGTCTCAATATTTGCTTGTAACAAAGAGCAGAATGGAAGCATGATTTGGCTTTTTCGACATTTGTGTGCGGTATCCGGTCTCCCGCTCGCAAATGTTGAATTCGATTGGGATCGCTAAAATATTTGCATTCATTCAAGTGTGCACACATTACTCATACCGACAGAGACACATTGCTTCACATCAGCAAACAAGGGTAAGATGGATGGCACATTTAGATAAAAGCTTCCTTTGGATACACGGCTTTCACCAACTTTCACCAACAATAGAATCCGCCACTCACCACCATTCCCGACAAGATTTTTGTTACGTGATACTGAATCACTGACATTGGTCGTTAGAAGGCGGCTATATGTATAAACGTCTGTATATGTAAGGGTTGGACTGGATTAGACAACGAGACAGAACAGGAAACACGGCTTCTGCTTCAAACATTTGTTTGCTCATATAATATCATAGTCAACTTTTGCCTAAATAAAACTACTTTGACCTTTGCATTGGTTTCATATCTGGATAATAAACAGGGTCTCTGTGGAATGCAGTTATTTAAATTTAAATACTTTAGTGACTATGCAGAGGACAGAATTGTTGAGTATATGAATACATATGTAATGTCCATATCCATATATTTAATAGTATGCAAAATCGTTTTCCGGAAGTTAGCTTTCCTTGTAAATCCTTCCTCTCCAAAAATATAGTGTTGATATATTGGTATTCTCTCAATACATGAATATTTTCTCACATGAAATTGTTATAACGTTGCATATACTTTTGGGAGTTCGTACCAATTGTACAGAGGCATTCATAGAATTGCTGAATACCTCTGATTCTGGTTTCGACAAATTCGACAATGGGAATGCTATAGGATGTAAATCGCCAGGAAAACACTCAAGATGAAAAGTTTAGTGTTTGTTTTAAACTGCACTATAGGTAAATAAATATGTATGCCTGGACGCTTATCGGAATTTGTGGTGAAAGCCTTGCAAAGAATGATGGTATCTGAGTTGTGTGGCTCTGTAGATTAAAGGAATGTGAATAAATGTTTTTTAAAATTAATCATGTTGGATCGTTAGCCACCGCAAAAGGTGCATTCCTCATGTAAATCGATCCCTTTGAAGTTCGAAATCAGTGTCGTTTTGATCAAAAGTTACTACAAAGCAGCTTTTAAAATTAGGAATATGGGAAGGATATTACCAGTCGTTTTTTTAATTTTCTGAAAAATTTGAAAATGTTCTTGTCAGTAGAGTTTGAGTTGTTAGTGAATACATAAACCTGGATTTGGGAACACGGCACAACATGACGCTGTCAAGTCGTACTACATATACTCAAGCCCATATCATAAAAGATAATCTCCTTTTGCTTTCACAATTGTTGATCGTTGTTTACAGTACACATAAACTGGTTCCTGTTCCACGTTCCTGTAAGGTAAGGTGGATGTGTGGGAAGGTTTCACCGTTAAATGTTAACTTGAGTATGGATGGAACTTTCGAATAGTTGCGTTGTTTTCAGTAGTCAGTCGTGAGGGATTTGGGATTTTTGAGTCTTTAGACAAGTGGACTAGATGTTCATCTGCTCTCTCGTTCCAGTCCAGATCATGACATACGTTCCGCTGGGAGAAAGTCATTAAATGCCGTCATGGGTCGGTGCAATCTGACTTACCGGTTATGTAGGGAGGAGAATAGATGACAGTTGTAGTTTGTATCCAGACATGTGAATAAAGCATGAGGGGCTTTCACTCTGCAAGAGCTGCAATGGATATAGGATGAAACATACAGGGACTACTCTTGGACTACGTTTTTACTACTGAAGAAACATGCCGTTCACAGATATGCCTACAGATAAGGTAATCAACAGGCAAAATTGGTGGGTGAATTTTTTATATCCTCATCTTTGTAAATGAACTCAACAATTGAATCTTCTACATATAGAGACGAGGCAAGATGAGACAGAGGATAAGTTGTAAAGTCAAGATGAATATGTATGCCCGTTATGCTAAAAATGCTGACTTTCGTCACTGACTAACACGTGCGCAGCTTATTTAGTAACACGTCTCAAAAGTGTAACGTAATTTCCCGTAGTTAATTATAAGAGCCCAAGTAAATTATCGCAGGCAGGGCACATTCACTTAAATCTCACAGCACTAAGAATGACTAATTATTTATGTGTTAGGTAACTGTGTCATCTCAAGCAATAATAAATCTTTTCATAGCGTAGGCGTGTAAAATAGTATCTCCATTTAATTACAAGAGGCAGCACATACATACAATATACGTCGTACACACAGTTACACATTTGCACTAACTTTGCAATTAGGAATTGTAACGTGTAAGGTGTAACTCGATTTGACTCGTTTTACATTGTGCAGAGAAATTACTTTCACCCGTTTACACGTGCATATTTCATTCACATCAATAAACTGATTTATGATTATGAAACACATGTTTTAATTTACAGAGAAATAAATCCTAAACAAATCTGCATAATCTCATCCGAATTGTACAAGCAAAATCCATTACAGTCAGTCCTTTGGTATATGAATATTAAGAGTGCTTACACTGGTTGATGCATAATTTAGAATTCCGGTTATTTTGCATATTTTAGATTGTTGGAAAGTCACCTTTATAGCAACTAGATTCTGGTGACAATATGCACTGGATAATTTTAAAGCTGCGAGTCATTAAAGAGTTAGTCACTGATTTAATTTGAGTTGGTGAGCGTGGTGCATGGAAGATGAAAGCAGGGAGACTTTTCAAAATTCCACAACACTCAGCTCAGGCAGCACAAAGACAACAAATGACAAAATAATCCAGCCAGACATAATCCGCAATGGCCGACATGTTGGTTTCGGTGAATAAACATCAAAACCTCATTCAATACGCGTCGAAAAGAGATGCTAAACACGAAGTTGTCGAATGTTTATTTGTAGGAAGGGGTTTATAACTTGGTCTCACAGCAGTTTCATGTGAACCTGTTCACTATTCAGTCAACTTCAAATCCTGCGTTTTAGCCATAAACACCGTTTTTGAACTTTAGATTAGTTTAGCTACCTTCGCAGCTGCCTTTTACATGTACCAACACAGGGTTGATTAGAAGGGGCTGGAGGTTAAATAAAAAGCTACTTATAATCAAAAGGTCAGCAGCTAAATTCATCTTATTAAGGCACGATTCCTTACCAAATTATGGACACTTCCCACTTGCTGAAAATTATATTGCAAGCTTGATCATCGTACTTATAAATGCGGTTCTGGAGGCTACTGCATTATTTGTGCCCGCTCTACTGGTACTTTTAGTACTAAACTTTGAAACATTAATCAGTTGTTTGCAGAACTTTGAATACCATCACGTTTTACTTATGCATGTAACCCACGCACGAACAGGACTGTTGCAGCTCTAAAGCAAGGTTGTTACATATTCTCATTATCCATTTTCTTGAATAACTGCTGCACAGAAACAACCATAATTCCAATTGTACGGCGCCATCCGAACGGCACGGCAACTGTCTGGTTCGCACTGTTTCCAATTTGTGTTTGATGAGTCTTGCCTCATCCCATTCCCAGTGGATTAAGACCACTATAATCTTATCTGGAGAAATTTGGTCGACCCAAGAAACATTCTTGAAGATCACCTTTGAGAGATTTCGCCATTAATGGAGTTAGTGGTAGTTTCATACCAATTAATTTAAAAGATTAATCATCTTTGCAGCGTAATGGAGGCGGTTAGGGTGCAATCACTTGCGGCTTATCTTGCCCTAGTTGTTTTTAGTACGTGTGTATATGTGCAAGTATGCAGTTGAGGAGTAAATTTAACTTTCTTGCTCTCATCCACCCGTCTACATTAAGACATTTGGGAAGTTTATAAAGAGCTATGGAATCGTCTACGGAATAAGCAATAGAGATTTTTAGGGATAAGAGGAGAAAGTTGAGATGGAGATTGCGGCTGAAGTTTGGACATTCTGATACGAGATTGAATTCGGTCGATTAACAGATTGGAGTGGTGCATATGAGGTCCACAATGTGCTCAACCCCTCCTTTGTTCGCTTTACTACCCACATTAACAAAATGTGGGAATGCGAAAACGAGTGGCTGAGGTACCAGTTTAGTCGTGGACATAAAACTCGACGCTCTTCACCAAAAGAAAGGATTCGTCCTCCTTCCTGCATGGTTATGCACAAGTAGCCCAAGATCGTGTACAATTCATGTGTACTACGAAATATATGGGCATTCTGGGCCATATTATGCATTATCAGTCGGATGGTTTTCCAAATCTATGTATATTTCCTGACAGAAAAAAATACTTTACAAAATTAGGTATAAGATACGTTAAGCGGCCGTTTATTCCTGCGGACTCTGTTTTTAATGTTTTTGGGAGATTTGAGCCTATGATACCAAATAATAGCGATCGACTCCTAACTAAACCCCATGCACCTGATGCTGCTTTGTGTGTCAACCCAGCAGTGTCAGCGTAAATACATATCAGTATTACCGCAATGTCATTTAACAGCCATCGCCTCCATCTCTCAATAAGGTATTTGATGTGGCTAACTGGAAATGTCGTTAAATTAACTCTGCCGGCTGTAATCTGGGTCTCCGTTGATTTGATATAAACCCAACGACATTTTAAGATAGCTCGGCCAGTGTTGGAAGCAGGAGAAATTTTACGATGGAAGAATACAATCCATAACCGTTCGTCATGGGGTGAAAGTGAAGAAAGCCGAGAGATTAGATTAGATCTGGTTTGACTTTCATTCAACTTCGCTTACTCTGACAGATTGGATTACATTGGAGATTTGTCTAATCGTGGCAGACTTGCTAGACCAGCACTGTTATCGTCAATTGGGAGGAAAGGCGGAAATAAAGAAGTCAATCGTACTCATGTTAGGTTGGGCATTTAAGTGTGTTTCTGTGTTATACGTTGCTACACATTTTCTCATGTTTCGAACCGAACCATTGTTTCTTTCTTGTCATTTGGCTTCAACTGGGGTTCATTATACTGGCGCCGAAGGGAATGATATGGTCGAATACTGCGTAGTTGATCCTTGGATGGATTATCGAGGTGCTGCATCCGAATTCCGAAGAAATCTCATCTGATCAATGTCTTTGACTCTACCATTTTCAGCTAACTGACAACTTGATGCTAGATTCGGGTTTTGTTAGGAGCGTGCCGTGGCCGATGCTACACAAAAGTCGCATGAAAGCCGTAGACTCCATGTCAGTCTAAACATGAACAGGAACAAATGCCTTATGGAGACAACTTCAGCTTTCGTGCAGAAAATCGTCGGGCAGAGAATTTCTCTTGCTGGCCCATATTTTGCTTGGACTGGATTCGTAATTGAATCTTGTAGAAACTAGAATTGCAGTAGAAAGCCATGTTATTGAGATAATTCGGCTGGAGTGAAATTAGCCAGAACGAAAGGGATGCTCGTAGGACCTTTGTAACTTTAGGTACTTGTAGGACGAATGAAGGGAAATGTCGCATGCAGAGAAAGCACTAAACCCTACATAGCTTATTATACGTTACATGTACATACATATATGTGTGTATTGACCGGTTTCATAATTCGATACCTACTGCGACAATGAATAAATTGGCAAGTTGAAATATTTGATAGTTGTAAAAGCAGCATCTCATTTTGTCTCGACAACAGAGACGAGGTCGAAATGAAATGCTTCACTTTTGTTGTGAAAATAGACAGGAAGGAAGTACAAGAAGTTGAAACGTTGGCAGCATTTTAAGCAGGCTGACAGACTCCGTTGTTTGCATAAGACCACCCATTAAATAAGTTTATGTACTAATTTTTTATGATAAGCCCAATTCCGTCGACGTAATATGCATGTGCAAAAGTCTTCAGAATAAATTTGAACTAAACTTTGTACATCTTGCTATTTCCTTCTTTTATATCTATATTTTTTTCTTTTTAAATAATATTCTCAGTGAAAACTTGGATTGTGGATTCTGATAATGAAAAAGTTGTGCTACGTCGTTTGCTGAATTGACATAATCTGAAAACGAGTAGTGATTTGGAGTTATCTATTTATTAAGCGTATATCAATCTTGAAATTATTTGGGGTGATTTGGTGCTGAGTGGATTTTCATCAGATATGAGCGATCCGTCGTGGATCATCTACTAAAATTGGTTATAAATATAATTCTGCCTTAATCAAACCATTTGCATAAAAACTTCTCGCCCTGAGGGTTGTATACATAATTGTGCTTTTTTAATTTGCAGGGGTGCGAGAAATGATGGAGGAGTTGGAGAGGCAGGGGCTCACGGGTCCCATGGTCGGTCGAGCGTACCATCCTAATCACAATATGATGAGAAAGTCGCAACGATCCAACAACTTGCGTCTTCGGTTTGGAAAGCGAAGTGTCCCTGACGCAGTCCCAATAAACACCATGTTCAAGGTTCGTATATTTAGCTCTGGTGCCATTTAATGAAACTTTGCGTTTCTCCGTAATGTTTGCGACGAGTGCTGTGTAAAATTGTTTACAAGCACTTTGTCAATGTCCTTATAAAATACACAGTATTCTATTTAAAACTTTTATATTATTACATTTTTTCTCCCCTTTGAACTCTTTAACGCCAATCATCAAAATATGTTGTTCATTCGTACTTTCACCTTTGACTGCTCGTGCATAAAAATTCAACACAGGGCAAATTCAATTAGCTATTTTGAGTAAATGATGAAAATCGACATCTTGTAGACTAGTGATTATGTCTGTTTTCAATGGAAAAGTTTACTGCGTTATCTAGTTTTCCTTTGATTCTCCTTTTTAGTTCAAAGGTTCAATTGAGCTCAGAAGAGCTACCGGGTTAAATTTTCTAAAGAAGAATTCCAGGAAATCAAGCTACACATAGTGCCTCCTACTTGTATAAAAATATTGTCAACTTCTCAATACAAAATGTACTTGTAAACATTATTGGCCTAAAAAAACGGTAGTGAGTCTGATAGTGAGCCTGATTGTGTAGGATTAGCGTTTGGAAGATGCTTTGGAAGATGTTTGGAAGATTTTACAAAAAATTCAACAGCGCAAGCTACCGCAATTCCTCAAGTACAGACAGACTCACGAGTTTTAATAATAAGCTATAAATATGTGACGTGGGAGGGATGAGACTTTTCTGAAAAAAATGTTAATTGCAACGATCTTAAAGTTCGGCTTGAGTTTTCAATTATCGCAATTATTTTTTCCCAGTAGCGACTGTAACGAGTGATGTCCTTGCTTTACAACTTTGTTTTAAACAAGTTCTTAGTAAAGTCTGCAAAGTTTTCGTTTAATGATACTTTGAAGGACTGCTCCCAACTCAAATGTCACATAATGAGAAACATTTTCTTAATTGACATTTAGCATAATGAGTTCAAGTGAAGGCGTGTATATTTATTGGTTGAATAATTTTTTCATCAGAATAATAGCCAAACGACTCATCTAATTTATTTTTTGCAGCCACTCGACGACGCCCAAAAAGCGGAATGAAGTCCAAGATCTGTCAATATTTGACTGGAGCATTTTTTGGGCGAAGCAAACCAACCCCAATGAATGAATGGCAAAATGCTTTCGCAAAGGGCAAATAAACATTTGTTTTACATCATTTATCTAATGAGTAAATAGATATCGTTATTCTCACAAATGACAAACTCGTACCTTTAGTAAGTATTTATCTCTAATTAAAGTATACGTGTGAAAATATGGGGTGACACTTTGTTTATTTGTTTATTATTTACTTACTTATTTCACCTGATGTAAATACATAATTTATTCAATTAGCGAAATTACTTATGCAACAATTTTTCAGCCTTGTAGTGACAGCTTGTGGTGCAAATAATTTTATGAAAACGGCTAGAAAAAAAGTATATATCCACTTAATCCCAACCAGCCTTAGCCGTTTCATAATACATATATATGCAACTTTTAAATTTCCTATGTTCCATCATATACATAACTAGCATATTATTAGCTAAAGGTGTTTTTGTATTACATAAAAAAACCCAGTGTCCTAAGTCTGTACGTTACAGTCAGTTGTATACTAAAAATAAAAATTATAATGTATATAAATGTATGTAAAAAAAATGCAAATAATATATTCCACACCTCACCACTGCATGATCCATGACCATCCATTTTGTGCAAGTATTAATCAAAGTCCTATTACACGAACTAAAATTTTGGCAAAAAAAGATTGAAAACAATTTCTATTTATTTTTATTCGTCTCATTTTCCCCCAAAAGTTTTCTCGCATTTTCTCTATACTATTGATGTTATACATATGTATGTACACATATTATTGTATCTTATATTTTCGTGAAAGTTTCTCTATGTAGTAATAGAATTTTACGTAATTACAAAAAATAAATCTAAATGTGCCATGTACACAATCAATGAAATTTGACTAAAAATAAATAAAAAATATTGTTTTATGGTTTCATAATTTCGTTGAAACGGCGCATTGCACAATTACGCATCACAATTGACTCATCCCTTTATTCCTGAATGATGTATGTATCTAACAAGTAAGTACGTATGCATAATCCGCCCACGCTTTCCACACGAGTTCTCACCTTTCACCCAAAAATCGTCTGCCATAAATTTGATGTCACAAAAAAGTAGAACGTCACCAAAAGTCCCAGGAGACCTGATTCCCTTCCATCCAGGTTAACTCAGGAATAAAAGGTGGTGAAGTCGCCCACCTACTTTTCTCTTTTTTCCCTTGAGGACACTGAAAATTAGGAGAAAGGTGGCCCGTTTGAATCAAAGGGACGCTCTAATTAAATGATGGAGCCGTGAGGTAAAAGAAAGTAACAAATTATGCTGACAACAAGTCACAATAAATATAAAGGTCCACGTGTGTTTTTCTTCTGCCATAGATAAGCACACGAGTCTACGTGTGTATACATGGCAGAGAATATGTGCATCCAGACAAGAAGAATGGGACAAGACAAGCCGTGCATGCTTCGTTACTTTCACTATGACCAATCAGAGCACCGAATTCGTTTCTGGAGATCAAATGTCTCCATTAAGAAAATACTCCCTCTGGAATTCTCAGGAAATTTAATTCAGAAGTTTACAAAGAACACGACCATTAATCTCCTCGCATGTCTAAATGGTTGTAACCTGACACTAAATGGACATGTTTCGCTGTAAATTTATCCCTGAAGAGAAACCTCCTAAATTAGCAACGTATAACGGCGTATGTTCAAATTTGCCTTTGTGACAATCTTGCTGAAAATGATTGTTATCTCTTATTCTAGTCCAATAAATTAAAATTTACTGTTCGGAGCTGTTGAACTATTGCTTACTAACTTTTCTTAAATTGCATTTTAATTGAACAAAAGGAAAAAGGTTCTACTGTGTAATTTTCAGGGGCAATTGCACATTTTAGTGAAATTAGATTTTGAAGGGCTTCATAAAGGTACGTTCTTGTGTTAAACTTTCTTTATTCATTTTTCTTAGTACAGTTAAATGTTATTTGATTTAGTAATTCTACTGGTGCAATGGTATGATTATTGACAGTATCACAATTCACAAGCAATAGAGCTTGAAACATTACAAGTCATTGAGTCTCACAATTCAATAACCTTCATTATCGGTTCCACAAAGGTATTTACTAGAATCTTGGACATATTATATTACCCCAAATTAATTAAGTAATTCTCCTGTATGAATTCTGCCCATATGTCTTCAGTCATCTCATGTTTTTATATATTAAAGTACAAAATAAATTACTTTTTGAGTGTCAGTCACAAACTTTCACTACAACTCTTCACGTTCATTAGCCTTTATTTTCATAAACCGGATAAAATCCTGTGCCTTTCTTGGATCGTTGTAATCTGAGGAAAACTTGCCGTTCTTAAAATATTGGAAAGTGGGGTAGCCAGAGACTTTGTATCGTTGGCACGTCTGAAATGAAACATATTTTATCATACAGAAGCATGAATACATGCGTTTGTGAAAAGGCACTTACTTTCTCAGATACTGAACAGTCAACGGCTGCCAACGCTCCAATACCTTCCCTGTCCAAAATCGCTGCAGCTTGAGCAAAATCTGGCTTGGCAGTCTTATCCGCTGCACATATACGAAATAATTAATTAAGATTCGTCTCAGAACTTCTGAGTCAGAAGTCTCACCTCCCCACATTGCAAAAAAACTACGCAATCAATCTTCATACATTGATTCAACGTGAACATAGGGCAATGTGAGAAATCGCAAAAACATGACATGCATTCTTGCCAAAATACTTACATGTTGTATAGAACATGACGAGAGAGGATTCATGAGTGCTAAAGTATTTCTCTATTGTGCTGTCTGTTAAAATGTTCACTTTCTCATAACCAGGGTTCTCTGACCAGTCGTCTTCTTGTGCGGTCTCCGAATTTGGTGATGGTGAACCACTACGTTTCAATTCACTCAGAAATCCAGATTTCTGAATACAACGGGAATAATCATGAGCCATTTAATTAAGAAAAATACGCTTATTATTAAAACTGAATAACGGTATTATGCCAACCGTTCTTTCTCCATCGTAGTTGAGCACGTCTTCTTTGTTGAAATACTGAAAAATTTTAAACGTGGGAAATCCTCGGACTTCATACGTTTCACAAAGAGATTTCTCCACCGTACAGTCAACAGCACCGTACATTACTCTCGGATCGTCCTTGAGTTCTTCCGCTGCAGCCGTTAGTGAGGGCTTGGCGTTTTTGCAGTGACCACACCCTATTTATAGCGAAACTAGAATTACTCTACCCATTTATTCTCATATTTTCTTCTGCAAAGGGCTAAGTAATGAGGTGAAAGTGTGCAAAAAGAATATCTTATTACATGGAGCATAGAACATGACAAGGGCTCGCTTCTTTTTACGCAAAGTCGATTTAAAGTTTTCCTCGTTAAGATGAATCACGGCGGACTCTTCTTCCGACCACGCCTTCTCGGGCGGAGGTGGCGGCGGTGGCTCTTTTGGATTTTTCATAAAGTCAATTATTGCTGATTCATCTCTCACGTTTCCGACATCAAAAGCTAATTCTCCGTCTTTGAAGTATTTTACGGTGGGGTAGCCTTTAATATCATACCGAGTCCCGAGAGACGATTCTTTCGTTACATCAACAGCAGCTAACACGCCGACGATCTGTGGTGAAAGTACATTCCAGCCAGACAAAGAGCGGGGAAACGATAAATTGTTAATTGTTGAAAAAACATGGGATCTGACTACAACTTATTTATACCTTCTGCTTCTTTAATTTTTCAGCGGCCACAACGTAGCCGGGTTTCATTTTCTTACAATGTCCTGTAAACATAAATGGTAGTAAGAATGAATCAGCAGCAAAGAGAGTACGGTACACAAATGTATAGATCGAAAATGATTGTTTTGAGGTGGATGTCAATTTTTAAACTTTTAGAACTCACCACACCAGGGGGCATAAAACATGACTAGAACAGAAGGATTTTCCTAGAAAATTTTAAAAATACATCAGTTACGGATGGAATTAAAACTTACTCAAAATTCAAGGCATTACGAAAGGCATTATGCATGCTAGGCTTCTTAAATTTGCTTATGAATGAGTATTACACAGAACTGCAATCTCGACAATACTACTTCTCAGTAATGATAATTAGCACTGAAAAGACTTCCCGTCAATGACAATTATAAATTCTGACTTATATAAGAGCACCACAAGGCGATGGTGGGTGTGATGGAAAGTAGAATGGATGGCATCAAGTATCAAAGAAGATATTCTACCTTAATTGTCGTATCAAAGGTGGAAGTCGTCAAATGAACCACTTCACTAGGTTCATCAGACCACTCTGCGTCTTTCGGTTTTTCCACTTTGGGAGCACTCGGGTCTCGCATAAAGCTAATAATTCCTTCCTTGTTGTTTTCTCCTTCAAACTGTTGTTTCATTTGTCCATTCCTGGAAGCAATTATGACGCTATTCTCATTTCATATTTCAAGTGTACACCATTCAAAGAAGTGGAACATACAAAGAGAAATGTTGAATTGATCTTTTTTTTACGCCAAATATAAAATTACGATAAATGTAAAATAAATACTCAGGTTATTTAGGCATGATTTACTACATACCATGAATTGCATATACTTTCAGCAAAGTTGTTCGTGACGAGTGATTGAGTGAACTGAGCAATAAAAACAACAGAGAAAAAGCTTTCACCTCTAAATGTCTTACCTAAAGTAAAGAAGGGTTGGGAATCCAGTGATGTTGTACTTTTGGCGAACAGGCCCATTCTCCGGCATATTTACGTCAATGGCAGCTAGAATTCCATCTTCTTCCTTCAGTTCTTCCGCCGCAGCAACATAGTCAGGCTTAATCTTTTTACAAAAGCCACACCAAGGGGTGTAATATAGAACCATTACCCCTCTGGACCAACTTTCCTTCTTTATAAGTTTCTGCAAAGCCTACAAACACACAAAATGTCGACATCAGATTGTAGATAAAACATTTCTTGTGTTTTGTGAAAGATTATTTCATTTTATGTCTGATTTCCGGAACTGAGGGTACTCAAACTAAAATTATCTACTGATAACATTCAGAATTTGAGGAAACACGACTTGATCCATATTTATTCATACGACATTGCTTACTGGATGAGAAATATGAACATGTGAACCTGATAAGCACGCTTAATTGAGGTAAAGTTTAATTAAGGCATTGTGTCAGTATAGTCAGCGGGAAATTAAGACGTTTTCGTGGGATGATGAACACATTTTCGTAGAAATGGAGATTAAACAATGGGAGGTTCATGTGAACATTAGCTTCTCAGCGTATAGAATGAATTAAAGATATTAAAAAGAGACCTGGAGATTTGGAAGATGGACCACAGCAGTTGCAGTTTCATCCTCATGCCAGGGCAGATCGCCAGTCGGGTCTTTCAGAAAATTCACCACGGACGACACCCTCGGAGCTCGGTCGTAGTCTTTATTAAATTCTCCATTGTTGTAATGTTTCATCACATAGTTTCCAGGAGAGGGACTGGCTTTCACTTTCTTGCACAACTTTTTCGCGTCCCTGAGTTTCAATGAAATGTTAAATTAATCATCAACTCAGAGTCACTTTTCATTGTGACTGGCCCCAAATGAAAAAAAAATCTAAAGCCAGAACTAGCTACATACACGTAGGTTAATGAGAATGTGAATGTGAGAAATGAGAAAGTTGACACGTTGTCGTTTCAACTTTCATTGAAAAATAATGGCAAACGTGTAGGAAGGCATTAATAATGGTTATTTAACATACTTATGCTAAGTCAGGGTGCAAAACATTCTCCCCTTTCAAAACCTAGCGGTATCAGGAGAAAGTGTAGAGTAAAAATGTGTAGTGTGGTGTCATCCGCCTGTCTTTTCGATTTCGAAAGTCGCCAAGCAGGTGGTTTCAGGTTTTAATCTCTTAAAAAGTTTCCTCTGCTCTTTAGCAAATGATCCCAATGAGACCTCATCCATCCTCCCTTTCTCCGCTAATGCTACCACGAATGTGCCCAGAAGGAACACTTTCATGATGGAACTACACCATCGTACCACCGCAAACTTGGTTCATTACAAACCGATGATACAACCTAATACGCCATTACATTTGAAAGTGCTACAATAAGTCATTGTTTCCCGATGCTCCCATATGCATAATTCACCATTAATATGTCGCATGTCTCCTGTGTATATTGCTTCTGAATTGACAGGCTATTTACCACCTGAAACCCACGCAGATCCACCAACTCCTCTTAAAAAGAATGACCTACTGTTATCCTCACACACATGCAGAATGTACATAATCGTAGAGTAAAAGTTAGAGTAAAAGTCGTGGTTGTAATGGATTGAGATTAATGTATGAGGTCGTTTCACAGTTTCACCGTAAATATATGGTAGTTGTTTCAGCAAAGCACGAATTCATTCAGTCTACAGGCATTTAGATAAATTAGATATATAAGATATTTCAGGTATCCAACCAGGTTTCACATATGAATAGTCCTTCTGAATTTATGGCACATTTACATACAACTCGTACTTCACTTTGTAAGTTTGCAACTAGTAAACAATATAATTTCTTCAATTACTGTGAATTATTTGAACAAAGCATTCATATAACCTCTTCATATAAATCTCCTTATTAATTAAGAGGCAAGAAAACCTCGAAAATGTAGCGTAATTAATATCTTGAACTTTCACTACGAATACATAAGAACTGGACGTGGAAGACTAAATCTCAAATTTCAGAATGTGAACGTTTACTTTCCTATCATTCCCTTTCTTTCAGTGTTTATATCTTATGAGAAAGAAAACAATGTTTTAATTATGTTTCCTTCCGTATACATTATTTCCAGCAAAGGAAGCTCACATACTGCGAGCCTATTCTGTCTGCTCGCATCAAGCAAATCATTACTCGGACAACTTTTACTATCCATTCGCAGTACATCTAGACGTTCACTGTATTTATTATCGTAATGCAATACGTAATGCAACATACATAAAATGAGCTACGTGATTTATCCGACCACAAAAACTTTGTCTGACCACATTTGCAATCTACATGTTAATAAAATCACAGAATAAAAATAAAACCGTATCTCCAACATAAAACCACACGATGCTATTAAAATAAGGTCTGCACTGTCTGTCGCAGGATCGTGATTTCATTCCTACAATATCTCACCCACCCACCTACCCAAGTATTAGAGTTTGGGAAAGTATGGAGAAAGTTGAGAAAACGGCATCAAAGGAGAAAGCAGGCTCACTTCTCCCCAAAAACTCACTTTCACCACCACCACCAAATGCTACATATATTGATGGTGACATAAGCAGCAAGAAGGAAAGAAATAGATACTTGCCCCGAACTGGCACAGTCGACGAGGGCGATGGTGCCCAAGCCTTTGACGACCCCTGCCGCCTCCTTGAGCACCCCGAGAATGTCGTCACGAGCAAAGGAAGCCCTGCCACTCCCGAAGCAGATGAGAACATTTGTCTTGCTTTTGATCAGCCTCTTCCATTCCTTAACATCCGTCATCTCATTGAGCACCACCTTGTTCTTCTGTGAACCAATGCGATTCGATGATAGCTGCTCATCACCCAAACTGCTCGGAACTCTGTAGAGCAGAGTGAGGAGAAAGGTGGTGGTGACGACGAACAATGAGAAAGTCTGTGGGGGAAGAAACGTACAATTTTTTGAGTGAATCGTAACTTTAATATTCCAAACGAATTGACAAAGCGAGTTCAAGCAAACGGGGAATGTTATAATTAACATATTGACTCTGATTCTTTTCATCCATCTAATCATCAACAAGTTGTTGAGTCAGACAAAGTTTTCCAATATAAGCATGAAGGAAAACAGATCCCGTGAAAATGTAATTGGTAATTAATTATGTTTCACTGAACATACTTGCTTTCTCATAGTTGAAAGGAAATCAATATTTCTTATGTATTCATTATTTAATGTGTCTGACAGATGCAGAAGAAATGTATGAATTTCATTTAACCAATTTTAAAGTTAAAAAGGAATTTCAAATCACAAGTGAAAATTTGCTGCACTTTCATGAAATAAAATACTTATCTAAATACTTATCTAAATATTTATGTAACAATGACATAAGAAACATGTAATATTAATTTCCTTATCTAACTTGTTCATTGTCCAACTTTTAGCTTAGTAAGCAATCTTTTGCAAAATGTATGCAATTTGAATAACTAAGTAAATGTTATAGTGCAACAAACTGAGAATTTGCCAACCTTTCTTCCGGGGTGAAAGTATCCATGAGTGTGCATTTGCATCTTTCTTCCCACGCAATAATTGATCAACTCATACAAATTTAGCTCAAACCTGCACGTTTTCCACTCAATTCTTCACACACACAAATGAATCAATTGTTTACAATTTAATATATAACTCTTATTAGCTATCTATTTAAACTGTGAAATCCCATTTATTCAAATTTTTGCAAGACATGTGATGTTTGACAACTTTCACTACTACTATAGTAGTAGTACGAATATTATGTTTTAAGTTTTTAGGCAAATCAGTTTAAGCTCCAGATTTGCTTTCACCACCAACCAACTCAAAACAATCAGCTTTCCGTTAATATTCTCTCCTCTTCTGGTTTGTCAGAAATAAGTTTAGGAGTCTATTTTAGATGCATATTTGCAGACTAATTTGTCTCCACAATCTAAATGTAAATATCATATCATTTCAACCGGCATGCTATATTTATCGTTAAATTGTAATTTGTCATTCATTGTTCATTTGTTCGTCAAAACAGGCATATTATATCTTTGAGATGTGATGGTGATGTGTCAAAAATCAAGTCGGATGCTCACGCAAATTCCCACACATTTCCTCCAGGCGCCTGGAGCAACAAGTGTGAGTTTGAGGATGCAGAGCTGCCTTTCGGAGCCAGAAATACTCACTTTTCTGATCAAAGTTTCTTCTGAGCGGGATTTGGCGGCGGATCATCCCTGCCGTTCACTTTGTTCTTTTGTTGTCAGCTTCAATCTCCTGATTTCATTTCATCTTGTTATTTAATTTTAGCGAGTTTTATAACTCTCATTTTAAAATATTAGTTTTCCTTTTTTGTGAATTGGTAAAATGGATGTCGCTGGAGCTACGACTGGACAACATCGTGTCGCTGACGATGTTGGGGAACGATGTCAAAAATTGTTTCAGGATTTTTTGGAACAGTAAGTAACATAAATAGAGATGAAGTAATGTAGTCTAATTAATTGATACGATTGCTTTATAATTCGTAATATGATAGGTTCAAGGAATATCAAACAAATCCTCCCAAATATCTTGAAGATGCTCGAAACTTGATAAAACCTGAGAGAAATACTTTGACAATTTCCTTTGCTGACATTACGGACTTCAACCAACATTTGGGGGACTGTATTACTCAAGAGTATTATCGGTAATAAAATGTTATTTTACAAATTCAATTGAACTCTATAAGTTTGTTAGTGCCGTGTAATTTCACCAGTTGTTTTTATTACCTCACCGCAGGATTTATCCATACTTGTGTCGCGCTGTGAAGAACTTTTTGAAGGACCAGGCCGACATTAATGTTCCTCTCAAAGAGTACTTTGTCGCTCTGACGGATGTTCCAACCCGTTTTAAAGTTCGAGAACTGTCAACCACAAAAGTTGGGACATTGATCCGAATTTCTGGCCAGGTGGTAAGAACTCATCCTGTTCATCCGGAACTGGTGGCTGGAACTTTTAAGTGTATGGATTGTCAGACGGTTATTAGAGATGTTGAACAACAATTTAAGGTAATTTTTGTTTATTAATTTGTTAATTTTAATGCGCATCATTACATAATTAATTTAATATTATTTTATTTCTTCATATTTTGTAGTACACTCAACCCGTGACTTGTACCAACCAAGCTTGTGCGAACCGTTCTCGTTTTGTTCTCGACCCAAAAACCTCGAGGTTTGTGGATTTTCAGAAAATACGAATTCAAGAAACTCAAGCTGAATTGCCTCGAGGCTCGATCCCTAGAAGGTTTGTTTTATAAGACGTGACTTTAATTAATATTAATATTAATATGTGGTATGGACATGATAATGTATACCACTCTATTTACAGCATGGAAGTTATTGTGAGAGCCGAAGCAGTTGAAGTTGCCCAAGCTGGTGACCAGTGCGACTTTATTGGAACCTTAATCGTTGTCCCCGATGTGGGGTCTCTTAATTTGCCAGGTGCAAAGGCTGAAACAGGGGCCAGAAATAGGGTGAGTTCAAGCTACTAATTTAGTCCGATTAAATATCTAATCCGACATGAATTAAAACACTGTATATTCTCTTTCTGTGTAGGGAGAACGATCGGAAGGTGATAATGATGGCCTACAGGGGCTTAAGGCTTTGGGAGTCCGAGAGCTTAGTTATCGACTAGCTTTTCTGGCATGTAATGTTTCGTCATCGAATCCCAAGGTACATAATAACCATATTGACATTATTTATCTCATATTTATTATGTATGTACAATGTACCTGATTCCTTCTAGTTTGCTGGACGAGAATGGATTCTTGAGGACATTTCAAAGGAATCCCTTCAAAAACAAATGAATCCCGAGGAATGGGCAAAGATTTTCAGCATGTGCAATGATAAGCATTTGTACGTCAAGTTGATTAGCAGCTTGTTCCCAACCATTCATGGAAATGAAGAAGTAAAGCGTGGTTTACTGCTCATGTTATTTGGTGGAGTTCCAAAAGTGACGATGGAAAAGACTGCACTACGAGGAGATATTAACATTTGCATTGTCGGAGATCCAAGTGTAGCAAAATCACAGTTTTTGAAACAAGTATGTTCGTCTTCAGTTTATCAATTTAAAATTCTTGGGTTTATGTACATTATTATATATATATATATTGTAAATCAAAACAGGTGGCAGATTTTAGCCCAAGAGCAGTTTACACTTCGGGGAAAGCATCAAGTGCAGCAGGTTTGACCGCCGCCGTGGTTCGAGATGAAGAATCGTTCGAGTTTGTTATTGAAGCTGGGGCTCTTATGCTTGCTGACAATGGAGTTTGTTGCATTGACGAATTTGACAAAATGGACCCAAGGGACCAGGTAGCTATCCACGAAGCAATGGAACAGCAAACAATTTCCATCACAAAGGTGAGTTTATTCGTATCTTGGTATTGCTAATTAATTTGTACATGCATGTTCCTTGCAACTGGAATGCAAAACTAAATGCCAAAATATATTTGTAGGCTGGTGTAAGAGCAACGTTAAACGCAAGAACTTCTATATTAGCTGCCGCAAACCCAATCAACGGCCGATATAATAGAGCAAAATCGCTTCGACAAAATATCAATCTCGGAGCTCCAATTTTGTCTCGATTTGATCTGTTCTTCATCCTGATTGACGACACAAATGAAGTCACAGACTATGCTATTGCTAGAAAAATTGTAGACTTACATTGCAGAATGGAGGAATCGATTGAACGTGTTTACAGCCGGGAAGAAATTTTGCGGTACATCCTGTTTGCACGTCAATTCAAGCCTAAACTGAGCACAGTAAGTGATAAACTAGAGCTTATTATTACTTAGTTGTTACACATTTTGAATAGTGAGTTAACTTTTGTGTTGTCGTTTCAGGATGCGTCTAAATTACTCATTAAATGCTACAAAACGCTTAGACAGCGAGAAGTTGGAAATTCATCTAGAACTGCGTGGAGAATTACAGTCCGTCAATTGGAGAGTTTGATAAGATTGTCAGAGGCAATGGCCAGACTATATTGCTCGGACAAGGTGAATTAATATAACATGTATATAATTTCGGAATAATCGTTGAGGAGAGAATGTATTAATTTAGTAACAATTTAGAAATATATCATGATAACAATTGATAACTTACAGGTGACTGTTCCTCATGTCGAAGAAGCATACCGTTTGCTGAATAAATCCATCATTCGCGTTGAACAACCAGACATAAATCTGGACGGTGAAGAAGACGAACCAGGCGCTGTACATGAGGAGGACGAAGAAGCTCAAGCAATGGACGATATGCGTGCCGAAGAAGCAGAAATGATGGAAACGGAGAGTCGTGGTGATTCACACAGTATTGCAGACTCTCGACCTGAAAGTCTTTCACAAAAGAAGAAATTGAAGATGAGCTACATCGACTACAAAAATATGTCAAATCTCATCTTAATATACATGAGGCGAGAAGAAGGCAAATCTGAAGATGACGGAGAGGAAACAGAAGGTTTGAAGAGAAGTCGTATCGTGGACTGGTATTTAAATGAAATTGGCGACACCATTGATACGGAGGAAGAGTTGATTGAGAAGAAAGAATTGGTAGAAAAGGTCATTAAGAGATTGATCGAACATGTAAGCAATTTGGTCGCTTTAATGACGTACAAATTATGAGAAATATATGACTGCGTTTAGTATGTGAGTATGAAATTTATTTAAAACTTGTATATATTTCCAAATTTAGGATCGTGTAATCATTCAATTGGTGACCTCCAAGTTTCAACGAGGACAACAAGACCCCATTGAAGAGGAGGAAGATCCACTGTTGGTCGTTCATCCCAATTACCAGATTAACTATTAATTTATGTTCTTTACAATTTCTTCGGCTAATCCTGTAACTAATTTTTCTATTGATCATATTTTATAAAAGTCTATCCAATTTTTAATTCCCGTGATTGTGACAAAGGGATATTAATAAAATTATAAATATAACATGTATCATTATTTTTTTTATATATTTCATATATATATATATATATATCAAGAGTAACAGCAACAATAATTTCAATAACGTTGGATTATTAGAGGACCTATAAGATGCCAATCGTTATCAACATGTAAAAACCAACACTAATTCTATTGCTTGTAACAACTGCCAGCTTTCCCTCGAGGATCCCATCGTACGCTGACTTTAATGACTTCATCGAGTCCATTAATTGGTACCTTGTAGGTGACGTCATAGTCATCGTGGGATTTCAATAGATTAGTTTGCCAATTATGATAATCAATACCACGAATGTCGCGGTCAATCATTTGACAAACGCTGTCCACAATTTCGACCGGCGTTTGGCATTTACCAGAGAAACGAGCGGCAGTAACGCAGGTGGCAATGAATTGCATATGAGCCGTGACGAGGTTTTGCAAAGCTCGGGCTCGTGCAACTTTTGAACTTCTTAGAATTTTTGGATTTCTGATTATCATCGCAGGATTCAACAACGGTTTGCTGGTTGATGTTCGGCATTCATATCCACACAAATAGTCAGCGGAGGACGAGTTCAAATGCAAGGCTTGATCAGCGTTGATTAGTTTAGTAGGTAACGGCCGAAAGAAGTTACACAACTTGATAAAGGGCACACTATTCTCGACATTGCTAACCTGAGGGATCTTAAAACGATCCATACAATCCCGTGCAAATACCATAAATTTCTTAATATGAAAGATTGACACATGGGTTAAAAAATCATTAGAAGGGTTTGCAGGCTCCAAGATAAAACGTCCCACGTTGTTCAAGTTCACTGAAGGCGTTAGTTTCAGCACCTGGGGTGGGATGGAAGCTCGACTTGTGTCGACAAAATTATCCCATCCTCCACTCGAACCGGTGTAAAATGCACATCTCAGGTGATCCAGTCGATTCAAGTATGAGAGAAACATGATAAAAGCATCGTGCAAAGATTTCACCCGTCGTTTGGCAGCACAAACAGCAATCAACTCGATGATGGTAATTCCGCCAGGGATGTATTCTCCAAAAAAGAGCGACTTGTACCAAAATTTGGCAAGGCGCACTAGGTCTTGCGTAAACGGGGTTTGTTGCCGCATAAAACCCAGTTGATCTTCCACCAAGCTGTTTCTGTAGTAGGCATGTGTTGTTGGATGGCGTGCAATTTTTCTAGTTACTTCATCCAGCTGCACCTTGGCAAAATTCAGCGATTGTGGATTGTGCACCAAATTCACTGCGGGCAGTATTTCGACGACAAAACCAGCGCTTTGTTCTAATCCTCCTATTCCAGACGGTGGTACTACAAACCGAACGCATTTGCTATGTTGAATTTCATTTTCATTGATGCCAAACGTTGTTGAGATTACGGCCTCGAAATCTTCAAGAATTTTAACAAAATCAGGTTTATCGTTAATGTTGACGAATACCGTGAGATAGAGGCTTTGGAACATGACGGCCGTGTACTTGTCATTGCGCCCTTCATAGATCATCCTCATGATGGGGAACTTGCTGTTAGCCTTTAGTGCAGCCAGTATCTTGATATGATAGGACAACCAATGACTAATTAATTCCAAACCTAGGTTTGTTATGTTGTTATCGGTGAATTTTTTTAACGATAATACCTTGTCAGCTAATTGCTGGCCTTCCATGACGTACTCGTCCTTGGGGATAAGAGATCGACTAAAGTTGTGTAAAGCATCGTCAACCTGAGATCCAACCATTGTGCTTTACTTTGGAGTAGCAAGATCAGCAATGAAGAAGTAGAAATTAATAAACTCAAAGGACCTGTTTACAATAAAAGTGAAAATTCAGAATATATGACGTTACTACAATTATTTCATTTCTTTCTTACCGATCCGTAGTGTGATTCGTCGCTGCTATAGGATAAGGACTGGGTCAGCTTGGCAGATATTTAGCCAAGTCGCACATGAAACTACAATGAATTTATGAATTTATCTAACGTATTAAAATAAATTGGATGACTGTTGTGTGTGTGGAGCAGCAGCAGACGCAATTTCCAAATGAACCTGCCCGCACACAGTCACATGTGGCCCCCACCTTGCTATTCTCAAATACCACACATTAGTAAGTCTTGTATTCCTTCGTGACTTGGCACACCCACAAACAAGCTCCTTGCCCAAATTTGTTGGCCTTTAAAGACTTGTTTTTAATTTAAAAAAAAAACGAATTTCAATGGGTACCTCAATTTTGATACATCAATGTCAATAATACATCAATGATACATCAATAATTCTCGCCTATCCGAGAATGCTTTCACCTTGTCCTACATATATATTATTTAAAACCTGTTTTTAAACCTATCAAAAATATATTTGTTTTTATATTACTAGATGCAAAATAACAGTTCTGCAACTTCAAATAGTGAAATGAAATAAAGTTCTAGAAATAAAGTTCATATGTAGAAAAGAGTAAGTTGTCCTTCTCTCTCTTGTTGCCCCATGTTGACGTATTGGTTTCTCCTTCATTGGAAGTAGTGAGTGCGACCACTTTCTCCAACACCATGTCCTCCGCGTTTGTTCTTTCTCCAAAAATATGTCTCCCGAGACTTCTTTCCATTTCCTGAAAGGCTTTTCTTAATTCACTCTGGGGAGAAACTTGAGGGTCTTTCGGTGATGAAAATGTCCCACTTATCTGAGACTGCAACTTGCTGACTGCTGCTCCTTCTCTTCTTTTCCTCTTTCTCTCTGTGTGTTGCCTCTTTGTGGGAGCAATTTCTTGGAGTAAACAGTTTAGGTTTCGAAATGAAACATGTTCAACGAGAGGAAACTATACGGCTGAAGGAGCCCAGTTAAAAAATCCGGAATTTATTTAAATTTGTACCAGAGTGCTTCAACTGCTACACTTTGATCTCTTGATGTCGGCATATTTGCATATTTGACATGAGACTTCAAAGTCCCATTTAATTGCCCTAATTTTATGTCTTGCGTGCACGTATCAGAAATAATGGATAAATAGATAACTTTCACTTGTGTTGACGTACGTTTGCATGATTTAGAGTTAAAATTGTCAATATAGAATAATTAACACCAGAAACACACAAGTTAACCAAGTTGGATACAATAATTTTTATTTACAATACATACGTCAGTATTTTCAATCTCACTCATGCATAACGATGCCGGAGAAAGCAAAATGTGAGTCAAATGAAATTAAATATTCGGAATAACTATGTATTGACATGCAACATCCAAACTTATCGATTTCAATAACTGTTGAACATATTACGTCTTTACTTGCTTAACACATGCATATCTATGCTATTTGCACGCACTATATGTATTTGCATGATTTTGATACCATAGGATTGAGTAGACGTCTTCTTCCGCTTCTTCTCATGTATTTTTCTGATTTCCTTATATGCATTCTTCACAGTGTAAGTTTTATGTAACAACGAGTTTGGCAGTCCAAATACTGACCGACAAGTCGTTTGAATACAAAAGGGTCAAGATTTATTTCTTAGGTCGAGAATTTTTGATTATGTATTATTTGCATGGAAGTCAAGCTTGAGGAATATGCACATTAGGCATGCGGATTTCAGTGAAACAGTGAAACCCATTAGTTGATTCTCATTGGAGGATTCCCTTCCGCTGCCGTTGTGTGAAGAGAACTGAGGTGGCACAAACAAGTTTTTGCACTTATCGGCTTCACCGCTCAGGTTGTTCATACTGTTGTTTGAATTGGACAAATGGGGGGTTTGAAAGACAAGACAAGTACAAAAATAGAAAACGCCCACAGTCAGCAGTCAGTACTCTGAGGATTTCTGTATGCCCGCTTGGCTGGACATTAGCATTTACTCATAACAATGACAGAGAAAGCACGGCCAACTATAAAGATTCCCACATTGGGAAATACCCAAGTTCATTAACATCAAGAAATCAAATTCCGAGATGATTACAATAAATTTGATGATTATACATAGTAAATCCTGGTACGTCTTACTTGGTCGATAATAAAATGCTTTCAGACCAGATGGGAATGACATGTAACTCTTCGTAACATAACAAAACATGTCCCTTTCCCGAACTAAAGATTAATGATCTAGCCATGCGACAGGGACGACAGCGGTTGGGCAATAATTTTACAAACGTAGATGTACAAATGTATGTACAAGAATTTCCTTATATGGATAAAGGGAAAGTGATATCTACAAGGCAGATTGCTCTTTGAGTTGAAAATAAACTTTCCCTATTCAGGAATTCTTTTTAATGCACATTCATCTGTGTGACAGGAGCGGTTTATTTCGACATTTTAGGACACACAGTCTTCATATACAGAATTTGAGTAACCTTTTGATAAAATAGTATGCAAACCTCAACCTTAATTCCTCAACGTCATTTGTTCTCCCAACTTTTGCAGTTACGACTTACTGTCGGTCATTTGTCTGGGCTTCCTTCCCCTGCAGCATTATGATGATGAGATCTGGTGAAGTGTTGCAAGTGGTGGCTTCGAACTTAAAATATTCCCACATTCTCGACTTGTTCAACTTTCTCCTTGGTCGAGGAGCATCTCTCATATAAAGGAAGAGATGACGAAGACGCTGTCTGGATAACTGTGACAAATGTTCGGGGTTAAAAGTGAATGAAATGGATGTTGGAAACGATTACCTTACCACCACGATATCTGGCTGGGGACAGTTGTGGCTTAGTTGGGTGGAATTCAACTGAGTTCCTTTTGTGACTAGTAAAGTAGTGGTTTCCTATAGAATTCACTCATCTATCATCTGGTTCTACCTGCCTATGCACATAGGGCTATTTTTGTTGTTTCCTTATATGCACAAGAAATGTAAATCTACGAAAATTTGCAACATCAGGCCAGCAGGTGTTGGTATCGGAAAAGTAATTTAAGGATTTCTCCTCTGATTTCAACCGTGTGAATAAGCAAATAAGTAGAACAGATGCATCAGATTACAGGGAGTGTGCATAATTTGGAAATATTCATCCTTCTTTCGCCCGTCACTGCCATTTATACATATATTCCATCACTTTTCCTTTATGTGATGTATATGTGTAGGTATGTCATGTCGTTGGGTCTCGTGCTTAAGCAAATTAAAATACAAAAGTATACGGGTCGATGTTTGCAAACAAGGCAAAAATACATGGTCATTTGTTGCTAATTTGAGCAATGGTGTTTGCATACAACTTCTGGCAAAGTTTTATAATGATACTTCATAGTGACTCGGGAAGACACAAATTTATGTGCAAAGGAGAAGATAATAATGGAACTGCTTGCAAGTTGGTCATGGAAAACCTTGGTACCATGATACGCATGGTATCAATTTATGGAGAAAGTAATGCAATAAAGCTAAACGAGGAATCAGCAGGTATCCGCATAAATGGTGTGCGTATGTATGTGGCATAATAAATGGTATGCAAATGATCAACTGCATACTGCAACAACTGGTCGTTCGTGGCGATTGATTTAAGTTTATATATCAAACTATGATATATGTACATAAGTATATATTATATATTGCGCAACTATCAACTTTTACCTCATTTCAGCATTACACCAAATTCTGGTCGGAAACACCATAGCGTGGCAAAGCATTTAGGCGAAATAGGGGAACAGCACTAAAAATTGGATCAAGCGTACTATGCGTGAGAGAAAGCGGAAGCATAATATGCAAATTCAAGTGATTCGCCTCTAAATTTTAATCTGGTTGATTCGTGCACATTTAAGCTCACGCACTTAAGCAGCTACCGGACTCCATCCTGAGGAACACACTCGGGTAGAAACGAATCTATTGTATTCAAATTACGACCCGTCGTTTGGTTGGATTACAGAATAAATCCAATTCCCTCTCTTATGCATTTCTTTAACGTTTCAAGACAAGAAAACTCTTTCCGTGTGGGTCATGGGCTATAAAGAAGAAAGTATAAAGTTTTTGGAATTTTGCTCCCGTTTGCGAAAACCCAAGTGCATAGGTTGAAGCACCCTCATCGTGTATATATTTCTACATACCCACCCAGTTACGCTCGAGCATTGTTCGATTTATACAGCATTCAACAAAATTGAGTAGTTGCATGCATACATGCTGAGTTCTGAAATCTTTCTTTCCTGGCAGGCTCCTCTTGAAAAAGTGCAAAGTCGGAGTCTGCCTGAGTTTGCTCGAGAGATTGGTACAACAGGAGGCGAGGAGGACGAAAGAAGTGAAACCGGTGAGTAAGTGAAGCAGTTGAGGTTTGTTGGCATGCGAGTCCAACTCAAAGTCTGCGTGTGAACACGGAGGAAGAGAAAAGCACGAGGCTGTAGCAGGAAAAGTACAAAGCGCAACGCAGGAGGGAAAGTTGTATGCATTCGCAGTGGCTGGAGAGTAAAGCAAGTTACACATTTTGTGTGTCCCTTGTTTCAGACTGCGAATCCAAAGCCCGGGGTTTTCCTTGCCCATGCCACATTTCACCTTCAGTCTTCGGTAAAGGAAGACGAGAAAGCACGCGAGAAGATCCGTGGTTGTGCACCTCAAGTCAACTATTACAAAACTCATTACTTCATATTACACGGTATTATAATACATTATAAGTGGAGGCTGCTGGGCTTATAAGGTGAGCAGCAGCAGAGGGCCGTTAAATTTCCAGTGAAGAGACTTTCATGCGTTGGTGCTAAATGTACTGCAGTACGCATATTATCTCCCAGTTACCATCCGGAGAGGAAACCAGCTTTTACATAACGAACACCATCGTGGAAACTGCAAACAAGATAAGTTAAAATAAAGAGATATCAACTTGATGGTTGGTACGTTGCCACCTATGTAAAGACATTCCTCATTCACCAACATTTCTCAAGTCTCATAGATTAGCGTACTTATGTATCTAAAGTCGCTCATTCTTGTCTCCATTATATAATTTCTCCGAGTGATGAGTGAAAGTAAGGTTCAAACATTCATCACAACTAGTGGGCAAAGGCGAAATACGTTAAATTCATTGTTCCAATCGTACCTGTTTTGAATTGATTGTGATTTGTTGCATAAATAACTCTTCATTTCCATACTTCTTTCATACTTTGTTGTCTTGCTCTCCTCACGTTGGTATACCTAAAAGGTGCTGAAGTGAAATAAAGTGTTGTGTGCACTCTCTTGAGGACGGGGACATTTTCCTGATAAATGTTTAAGTTGGAATTGAACTGATAGTGGATTCAAACATTGTTCTTCCATGCTGTGAGAAGAAATGCTGAGGGGCTCATGTGTCTGTTTGTACCCACGAACATCACCACCCACCAAGAGAAATAAGTGATCTCAAACTGTTTTTGAGTGAAAAGAATGGTGAAAGTTGTGCAAAGTTTATACACTTGGCTGACCGAGCTCATGAAAAATTTCTATTTGTTATCAAACAGGAAGTGAGACCGGCGGGGAGGAGGGAAGACGATTGTGATCGGAGGCACTTCCTCCCACACTTCAGTCTCTGTTGACCTTCCTCACAGTGATAAATCATCATCACAGCACACCAGACCCCACAACCAAGCTAAGCCAAACACACGCCAGCTATGTACATTCCAGCCCAATATTTAGAGAGTGAAAATGAAGTGCGACTAGGAGGAAAAATAATTGACTTTGATAGTGTCTGTCATCAACCACATATGTGTCTAGCAACAGCGTTCCGGTAGCCGGTGTGAATGTATGTACATACAACGTGTGCAATTTGGTGTGGAAAATCTTCCCAAGTTGACTGGCTCATCGTCGTGTGGTTGTGAAGTTCAAACAATTGAAGAAACAAGGTGTTAATCCATATGTCAACAGAGAATGTAATCTTTGTTTAACTAGCGGTGACAGCATTCATCGTTCCATCCATGTTTTCCTTTCGCTGTCTCATCGGAACAATGCGAATTATCAACTGAATCAATACCGAGATACTTCAAACTCCTGGTGCTCTGAGTTTAGAAAATATTTGTGTATGTACTCATAGGACACAAACCTTATTTCTATCGGCGTATGAGAAACAATGGAAATTGACTGACATTTGAAGCATAAACAACAAAGAACATAATAAATAATCGATATCGCCATTATCTTAACTGAGGTTAAACTTTATTCGTATATTTTAATTACTGGGATGCGTGTTATTGGAATAATTTATTATACCAGTTATTATCACATTACGAGGAATCCTCGGCACTGCCAGCAACTCGTGTGCAAAGATTAATTAGCCATTCAACCCGAAAACATCAAAAAGTTAAAAGGAAGCCATCCAAAAAGAAAATCACCAACCAACCACAAAACCGGTGCGGTTTAATAAATGGTCTCGTAAACACGAACTGAATGGATTTTCATCTTTGAAAGGATTTTTATCAAAAACAGAAGCGGAGGATGGTGTGCTTCCCTGATTTTCTCTCGTTAGTTAGTTCCTATGAAGCTTTGCCAAAGATCATAAACTGGCGTAACGGGAATTTAACGACATGAATACGTATAGCGGAAATAAATAGCGGAAATAACGAAAAATTTATGGGAATAAGCGTCACCTCATAAGCCATTTCATGCCAAGTCAGAATAAATGATATTAATGCAAATCTTGCAAATTATAAATCTGTCAAAAATGGAACACCACTAAACTCAACCTAAAAAATTCGGCATTCAGTTCCTGAAAAAGTAATCTTGAAACCTTTGAACTGCAAATACATCCACGATACTTTTCTCCCCATTATTTCTTTCGCACTACCGCAAAAGCCAGCCCTGGAATACATGCATGTAGAAACAAACCCAAAGGAATATAAAAACTGGCCAACCAGTCGGTCGTAAACTGGTTGCTACTGCATAAATGAAAGCAAGTCGCCGCCGCCGTCGTGAATTACAACTTTGAAAACAAGATAAGGTTTAACTGACTCAATTTCAACCTATATTAGACTTGTACAAATATATCTACAATACGATACGACATGTATATGCATCGTCAAATACTCAAAAACTAACTCATCCATCCAACCATAGCCGAAATCGGTGCAATAATCTTTGTGATAATTAGCTTCTGTAGCCAAGTGTTGGAGGAAACCGCCCCAAAGGAGACAACCGTAAATAGATTAATTACCTGAGATATTCCTACTCATCGCCGTCATCATGGATCTGAAAGATAAGAAGACCTCCAAACACGTAGTACAACCGGAAGAAATATGCATTCGACTTGAGGAACAAATGCCAAGCGCCCCAGCATCCGAACAGCCCTCAACATCAACCAGCCAGCAAGAAACTCAGCTTCAGCAGCAAAAGCGTCCTCATCCACAGGCTCGAAACCCACGACTAAAATCTCAAACATCTGAAAGTCTCGTGAGTGTTGGAGATGGATCGGTTAAATCTTCAGAGCGCCGGTATTGTATAAATATTTTATTTATCACATATGAACACAGAACTCCCCGGATCGAATCGTATGCATGCAGCGTTGCAGATATGTAGCAGAGTTGAGTTGGGAATACAAACTCTGCAATTCTGAATATGAGTCCCCCGTTTATGCAGTCATTTGCAACTTTTTATCATTTACACCGCAGCACTTATCTCTAAGTGTGATCCTGTATTGAGAAAAGGAAGAACAAATTGATAAGTCGAGATTTTGAGGGGAAAAGTCTACAAGTACGAGTACAAGTCTCCAACAGAAGAGCATCATCGCTCTCTCTGTTGGTATATCATTTCCGGCTGAAAAAGTTGCTCAACTTATCACAAAGAAAAGTATTAATGTGAACAAGAAAGTTAGTCGATAGATTCTTCTTGCGTTGCAAAAGGGATTTTCATCATCGTGGAATAAAGAATGTTCAGTTGGACCAGATCAGTCAGGAGGATGATATAGAAAATACAGTAATCTGGTTCACAAAGGAGCTTACTTTCAACTCGTACTTGTAAAAGCGCAACGGTGCAGAGTTTCCATAGGTTATTACATGTATTCTATTTTGTTATTTTATTTAGGAGGAGAGTAGATATAAACTATAGACATTACAAAAAGGCATTCATACTCCAAACTTTGGAATGTGTATACATATCTACAACTTCAGAATGATTATTCAGGCTTATTTAAGTAGTATACGATTATACTATAAAAACACGAGAGATAAATTTGCATGGTTTTAATCGGCGTCAGAGGACATGTTAATTGAGAAAATATTTACTATCTTGCAAGCTTTCGAATAAACATATAGTTATTTTTCTTCAGGCAAAGCACAATCGGCAAACTAAAAATCATTTCAAGTTCTAAATCCAATTGGTGAAAAGTGATGTATATAAACTATACAGTGCTGATTTAAAGAATTCTAGATTGGCGTTGAGGACTATTGGTGTTTTAGCATGTTTGTAAAGCTATATAGATAATCAAATAGAACTGACTACCTCAATAACTGATCATGCATACATACCATTATTGGTTTTCATAACTCATGATTCTCTATTATCGACAACAGAGAATAATTTAATTCAATACGGCACAAACGTGCGGTACTGAATAAAATTATCACCAGATTTATTAATTAATTAATTTTTTATTTTTATTATTGTACCAACATTTTTCTAAGTAATCCTTAGAAAGAACTGCGAAAATAGCTAAATACACAGAAAAATTGGACTTGAGAAGAAGCAAGTTGGACTGTCTGACCATTCGAAGAGCGATGGGTACGCAGTGAAAATGAGAACATTTGTACGTACAACTTATCGGCGGTGAAAGTCGTATAGAAGACATCACGATTCCATTCACATCCTTCAACTTTTGCTCGCCACCACATTCGTGGTTATGTTGGAGAATGGAATAATGTTGTAGAGCCAACTCTCTCTCTCACTTTCTCTTCAACGTGACAGGAAGAACGTTGGTTCGGCCTGTCTTCTGGCCGCAATAACCACAAACATGCTACAGAAGAATGAGCCTCCTCCCGGCAGCACGTATTTTGACTGCGTGTTATTACACCAAGCAATCTGTATAACGTATTGAGATCATGGATTAAGACGGAAAAAGGAGAAAGTCCAATTTGCTCAAATACTGAAGTAGAAGCACAAAGATAATAGTGCATTTTCATAAATTAAGCAAAGACATCTGCCTGGCCAGCATGCAAAAAACGAGTTCCAGTGTTCAAAGTAAAATGCAATGGAGGGACACTGGCGATGATCGGGTAGCCATAAGACCAGTTCTCCTCCTAGTCCCGCATTGCATTAGGATAAATCGCGGCGAAGGCTTAATTTCCTAAATTACAACACTTTCACCACTGCCACTTTCGCGAGTTTCCCAATTCCATTTTACTAATGAAATCATTAGTGGTTTCCTAATTGAGGCAGGAGAAGCAATTGCTTAAAACTTTATCCGTATAATTGTTTTTCCACGTTCGATGTCAATTCTCATGAATGCCTCGTTTTACTATTTATCAAAATTATACGAGAGTTTTAAATTGCATTCTATCTAAGTTTACAAATGTGAATTGAATCACCAATTCTATCGTATAAACATTTATTTTAGAAGATCACAATCTTATATGACATGAAGGTACTTACTTAATTTCAAGTAGTTTCATCCGCAATTGAGAGACAAATGATCGCTGTATGTTTTTATGTGCTGATAGATTGCAGACACATTGAATTGACTGTTGCTTAAACTGTCAAAGGTTGAAGTGAAAGCCATCCAAGTGATCGTTAAATCCGAAAGGAAAAAAAATCTTTTCAATCGATTTCTTCCCAGCAAGAGGAGCGTATAATAATACTAATAATAATATGAGAAGGACGGAGGAAACAAATGGAAAAGCAATGAGATGAGAGCTTCTGAAATCCTTCCTTGAGGCAATTTAACCAACTACGATTTTCTCCAGCCGATTCTCAACCTCAAAACTCACAACCTGCACTTTTGTCGCCAAAAAACTTTGTAACGAGCAACAGCCACCGAATTTGGCGTTAAAACAACTCCCCAATTTTTTGCGGTATTTTGCGTCCTCAGATGCATTTGTCAGGCACCTTTTTTGTTTCACCTAACGCAGAAAAGGAGGATCTCTGATGGCCACAGTTCGGATCAAGGAAAATGGTTTGAAGCCATCATACATTGACTGGTCTTTGTTGTGGCCATGGTTTGGATTGACAAAGAAAAAAGGAAGAAGGCACCGCTTAAGTGTTAGTTGTGTAGTTTGGTAGATGGAAAATGACACCATGAGTATCACTTTTTACGTTTATTGACAAGCACTTCGATCGTGTCATCCTCATCTGACGCTGATTTCTCTCGTCATATTATTTGATATTCAAGCTCTGCTCGTCGTGACTTACTTATTTACGTAAAGATATCAAACTGTCAATTTTTCCAATTGACGGGAGGCCAGCAAAGTAAACGGCATACAGAACAAAAGTGTCTCTTCGCCATGATACCAGAGATGCTATCAGAAGGTGAAGGGGCTTGGCGTGCGGTGGTAATGCTTCAAGCTTGCGATGCTTGACGGGGGATAAAACTTTTCACTTTGGCGTTTCGAAAGTTGTGTGATGTGACCTTTAATCAAATGTTTTTACGATGTTGGACCAAAATCAAAGTTTCAATTCTAAAAGTTTTCTGGACCAACTTTTTTATTATCTCGAAATTATACAAAGGCACATCAACCACTTATAACAGAATGCCATCTCCAGGCATTATGTTTACATAACACACATTTACGAGCACATTAATATCCGATTATACATACATAATCGTAAGAGCCTCAAACTATCATTTCGTAATTCATACAGATGTAGATCTAAATTTGTGTCCATTTTAATGAAAAATCTCTAAAGATTAGCGAAGCATTATTCAATTTTAATTTTATCTGGATGCATTGTTGGAAAGGCAATAAGGTATAAAGTTAAAGAGTTATTATGGCAAGGGTAACAGTTCATACGTGTTATCTTGGGAGGAATTGGAGACATTAGAACATTAGGATCCGAGAATTATTAACAGGAAGAAAGATTCCCATATGGTTCTCTGGCATTCACAATATTTCATTTGAACATGATGCATCGTGGCAATCCCATTTCTACTTCTTGATTAAATGTGAACCCATCCAGCTTATTCTTCCCCCGTTCCTTTGAAACGGTCCTGCGAGAAGCGAATCCTGAGCCAAAAGCAAGCACGAGAGGAAACAAGTGAAAGTGCAAGACAAGGTAACTGATAGGGACACAAGAGAAGAGCCATATTGTACACACTCCTAAAGGCAACGGCAGGCGGTGATCCAAGTTTTCTTGGATTTGAAGAATTGAAGAGAGTTCGACTTTGGCTTTCCGTTTTGCCCAGAAATCTCGGGAATATATTGGAGGAAGAGGATGTCATCATCATTACAATTTGACAGATGTATATAGATGTGGTCTAAAACGCCGGCTTATGACTCCTTGAGTCGCTCATTCTTTCTCAAATCTCCTCTAGAAAAGAAAATTCATTTCGCTCTTTGAATTCTTCTTAGTCTGGCTCAAGTCTCACAAAGGAAAAGTCGCACATATATTCCTACTCTAAACCCTTTTCTGTAATAAACCACTCATTCAATAGAATGGAGAGACAGTGTCGTATATTGCAGAAACTTATGGCGTAACACAAACAATAAGGAAGGAAGGGATGAGCCTCTTTCTCTTGACTTTGGATATTTCGTTTAAAAAGTTTTCATTTCAGTCACAGCAGTCATTCTTGCATCTTGTTTGGCTTAATCCATATCTCAAGGTAGAACTCGCACAATTGCTAGACACCCTTTAAAACAATGTAAAAAAGATGAAGAAGGACTTAATTTGTCGACTTCCAAATTTCTTGAATCATAAATCCTACAAGCTCTGCCTGAGAGTAAATATGTATTTATGTATTAATACATTGAAATGAAAGCGAAGCAAAGTTTGGTCCGTTGGTTGCAGCAGTTTGTTTGATTGCTAATTCACCATAAATTCTAATCTAGAATATTTTGAGAAAGTACAGCGACTGTTTCTCAATCCGGTCTGCCCGGGCGGATATTGTGTCGGGAATGGAAGAGGAGACCAAAAATGAGAAAGTGAAAACTTTCTTTTGTAAGAAAGCTGTGACGTTTCTTTCTCTCGAAATACCCAAGTGTTGTCCACCAGCTAAACTAACTCTCTATCCGGGGCACAAAGTTCCCCATCTCTCAGAGAAGGGGGAAAGGAGTGACAGATTCTCATTATAAAAATTGTCTCCCTGCGTAATCCAGCCGCCCTCCTTTTTCAATTAGTTTGCGGATAAATGATGTTTTCTCATTACAACTAAAGACCCGTCACGTTTCTTCTTCTCGTCTCTTGCAAAATCTCCATTTCGCATCCACATTTTATCCTCGCTGCACTAAAACCTAATCCTTCGTCTCGTCTTACTCGCTCCGAATTCAATCATTATGCAGCATCTCCTGTGTATATATGCACCTCCATGTAGTTATTCCTCTTTTTTAGTCGTTTATCCAATACGACCTCCTTGAATTACGGCATTTCTTTGTCTGCACAGTTGATTTAATTTCCCTCGTGAATCTGCTTCTGTGAAGTTTAGGCAATTTCATTGAATTATGATTCTAAAACCATTCTTCAAATTAATTGAAAATGCATCCGTGCAGCTCGTAGCATGTAGTAAACGTCAGTGGCAGCTATGCAACTCAATCCTTCTAATCCTAAGTACCACCCAATTCCCTGAAATACTTTTGGTTACCAAATTAAACTTTGCCCATAAATCATTTTTGTGTTTGGCCGTAAAGACAAGAGGGACACTCTCACAAGTGAAGCGTGTTAATATCTAATACTAGTCGATGTTGGGTCGCCTCTGTAAATATGTGAAAAGGAACCAATTGTAAACGGATGCATCGCGACGAAAAGAAAGCTTGCACGAGGGAATAACCTGATGCCCGAAAATATAGGTCCGAGGAGAGTGCAAGAAATATCAGTACGATTCTGTTGTAAAGGGTGATTGGTTATTTAGGTCAGATTTCAAATCCATCCCAACCTCCTCGACGACAACGGTTGGCAATGGCAATTTGTGCTGGTGGATAAAGTAACTTCGATCTAGTGGACTGTAACCACCAGCTCGGCTCAGCTCAAAGAGGGATCAAACGTCTGAATCAAGTCGAGTGCTTACTCACTGTCCCCTTTTGTCCTTGTTCCTCAATCAACTTTCATTTGTCTTAATCAAAGACTTCTCCATGCTCATGGACTGCATTTTATATATTTTTTTTCTGTTAAGACTGATCTCAGGTCCGATTTTTCAGTAGTGTTCAATTATTTTCTGGTTGGGTGGTTGTGATGCATAACTTGAATATATACATACATATTATTACGAACAGGATGCTGCTAACGTGTGTTGTGTGCTTTCCTCCTAACTTTTTCGACAATTGAGACTTGGGAATGGGAGCTGAATACTGATGACACTAATGAACACGGAATTATAAATTTTGAATTTCTCATTTTCTTACGTTTGTTACAGACGAGCCGTGGAGGAAGAAACGGCTGAAAACAAGCGGATTACAGCCATTGTTGGAGGAGCAACTGCCTGCATATTTCTCGCCGCTTTCATCCTCATCGCAGTCACATTAAAAATGACGCCGAAAATTGATGAAATTTGTAAGTTTGTTAATTATTTATCCTTGCATTTGTTCAAGCTTTGTAGTCATCTGGTGAATTCTGGTTACTCGCATGGATGTATGGCTTTGGTTTATTGAGTGAGTTATCTCTTCGCTGCTATTGCTTTGTCTATGTACGAGTATTATGTATATGCAAAAAGTAAGTAACACTAGTAGGAAAACATGCACGGAATAAAATGTTCTCAAGCTTACACAAGACCCACTGAAATGATGCTCAGCAAACCAACTACATGGTCTAATATCTCGTCGTGCAGTAATTCTGTTGAGGTTGAGTTGGAAGACTTGAGTTGCATTCAAATTCCGTATTAATGTAATAACGAGAAGCAGAACATTCTACTTTCTCCGAGTTGGAGAGTGCTGCATATTTCAGTTCAACTGATTCACCGTCTGCCAGGCTCACCCCGTGTTAGATTAAGTTATAAAATTTAGAGGGTAGTTTCTCATTAGACACCCGACTCAAATCATTGCTGATGTTTGCGATTGAAATAAAAATTGGTTATTTATTGAAATTTCTGGGCTGAGGGGTAACATTGAAGGGTTTATATTGCTTTGTTTACAGTCAATGTTTTAAGCGAGAATTCTTATGCAAGCAAATAAAGCAAGATTATAATTTCAATAATTTATTTGCAAGTTCAAAATCATATCAAATTTATCTAAAGGTGACAGTGTGAATAGATCCTTTAATGGAGACTCATATGCCATTTGCAGATTGTTTGATTGCTAATTCATCATTAATTTTGATTGAATTTGACTAATTTTGGTCTAAATGAGAATGATTTATTAATTGCGTAACAAGTGCCACAAATTGTTGTTAAACTAGCATTTATTATAACGGCGAGAGCATGTGCTTATACCGCTTGACTATTCTAGTCTTGGTTGGAGTGAAATTTTATTGAAGCAAAAACTACGGCTTGCCACAACTTTCTCCATCTAAAATGTGACTTCGGCAAGCATGGTATGAACAATTCCCGGGTTTCTTAACCGAATCCTTTGATCAAATGTTCAAGCAGTACCCGGCTTTCCCGGAAGAGGAATCTCTCTACCCTTTGCACTTTCACTCGGCTGGAAGCTGTACAATTGTTACCGACGATATTAACTCTCAGAGTCTTGTGGTACGCCGATATGTATTTTATGCAAATCATTCTAATAATGCGAAATAACTCCCGAAATCTATGTACATCATATAGTATTTTGTACCAAACTTATTATCGATATGCATTTGAATCGACTTAGGGAATAAAAACTCCAATTTACCCCTTAGCCGACGCAGGTTTGACTTGTCAAACATTTTTCATAAAAGCTCTGGTTTATTTCAACGTTATGGTTTCACATGCTTATTGCGTTATATGGCCATGCGTTAAAGGAACTCAAATTATACAATGTATACATGCAATTTGTAAAATAAATGGAATAAAACCTACCAATTTATACCACTCTAAGTAATGAAGTCGGGGGAAATGTTCGTAGTGAAAGTGGCATATTTTTGCTTCTTCATCACTTTAACCCTAAAACCACAAAAGCATAACACAGCGGAATTTGATGTAACGGAAGCTGTATTGCATCATCATAATTTCTTCAACTTTAATTTCGACCAAAGAATGGCAGCTATAAATTATAATTCTTCATGCAGGCCAGTAAGATAGTGGTCTGCATGGATTGATGGACGGGGTTGCTCCAGTTTGGCGGAAACAAGGCGGTGGTGCTCAGATTCATGAGTCCGTTTTCGCAAATTACTTTTTCTTATCAACATCCGGCTTTTAATACAAATTGCTGATATAACTCTCGTCTCTGTTGCTTTTTGTGATTTCTTCTCTCATCACATCCCATCATCTCATGCGATAAAGTAAGCTCCGAGTAGCCCCCAGTGACTCGTATTGCTTTGTCTGCGCGTTCTATCCTATTTCACGGGCCAATTCCATTTCCATCTCCCTTGTCCCACATACGTAGTATGTAAGTAGGCATGTGTGTCTGTTACAGCGAACAATAATGCCAGGGAATTCTGTAGAAAACCGGTAGAAATTCATCGTCAATCTTGGGCGTTGGTCTGTTCACTGGCTTGGTCGAAACTCACATTCCATCAAACGGATAAATCTGCATTTTGAATGTGTGTTACATATATTGGTCAGGAGACTATTGATCGTTGACTTTTGTATGCGGATTCCTGATCTCAGCTCGAAATATACAATAAAATTCGTCGACAGTTAAAGTTTAACGAGTCATATAAAATATATGCAAGTATTTTATATGCTCCGTCCGACATGTTAACCTCACGTGACCTGTGAATGCATAAACTTTGTGAATGCGTTTTATTCAATAATAATAAGCACATTTATTTCAAGGGATCATAAATGCATAAGTTCGTGGCTATAAATCTTGAGGAATAAATCTGACAAATACCTCGAGACCTACTGTGGAAATCTCAAGTAGCCCATTTCTAAAGGTTTGCAACGAATGATGCAAAATTCCATACCCTTCTCTAAACATTTTGTTGACGTGGTTGGGTTACTTACACAATGATTATATAACGCATACAGACATTCACTTTCTCTTTCTTTACGTGTTGGAGAATGTTGGCTCGAATACAATTTCAAAACCCAAGGTAAAAGTTGTGCATTTGAAGAAATCTAATTTCGCGCACCTAGCTGAACTAAATTCTTCAACTCACTGTGTTAATAGTGCTGTCCTGCGTCGCATTTCAAAAGTTGAGCAAGCATTACTAAAGCAATCTCGCGTAAAAAGAGGAATTTTCCGTGACTTCACACGTTGCAGATTGCCTCTTTCCAGATTTGAGAAGTGTCAGGGTCACAACTTTACGTAAGCGTGATGACAAAGCCTTGGATGGTGATCTAATGATAAATGATTTTTCCACGATTTTTTCATCCCTGTTTACAGCGTGGGGAGAATATATCGACCACGTTTAAAGAAAACTACTTGAGAAAGAAAGACACAACGAGACGAGGAGCAAGGACGAGTCTCGTAACCGCTTTTGAGTGTATCCAATCTCACAACCACCACGAAATAGTCTCATATCTCTCTTCTCTCCACACTCCACCAGCAGAGGAACAAGTTGAGTCGTCGTGTGAGACGGTGAAAGTAAATCTGGCTGGAGAAGATTCATCGGTGAGCATCGGAGGCTCCGATCTCATCATCATCTCCTTCACTACGTTCTCTTTTCCTGCCCAACAAGACTTTCTTCACTCACTGCAGTCCTCCTACGTACGTATTTACGTGTAGTCGAGTTCAGCAACTTTCTCCACCAGCAGCAGCGGACGGATAGGGGAATCGCCCTCCAGTTGTAGCAGTAGAAAGCAGTTTGGTTGTTGGGATTCCAGGCCGAGTGGGTCCGGTCGTGAGAACTCTCTCTTCTTCAGCCAGAGTTGAGTCACTCTTAGGAGTTTAGGTCCGTAACCTTTCCATTACAGAGGCAGTTTGGTTCCGTCTCTCAAACCATTCTGATCCCAACCTCACGTGCTCCTCTCATTAGACTCGCTTTCTCTCTGGTTATGTGACCGCAGCAAAGTTTAGGTGGCACTGACACTGACTGATAAGTCCAAGATATCATTGCCGTTAGAGTTGCAATGGGACTTTTCCTAACCTTGGGCCCATCCAAATAATGGAGTTGAATTCAAAAGCTACTGGAAAACAAGCACTTGGTAGTAGCACTGCAGCGATCGTCGTTGAAAAGTTGTTGGGTAAAGAGGAGGACACGGTTGTGAAACAGGGTGGACGTGCTGACAGTGCTTCTGACAATGAAGTGTTTGTGTCTGTCAAATCAATCAATATTTCAGGATCTGGACCAGATTTGCCTACGTTGGTGGTGGGCACCGAGGGGGAAAGTGGATTGAATAGCGGAAATGTGGCAGGGAGCAGGAACCTTGAAGGCGGTGGTGGTGGCGGAGAAAGCAACAATGAGCAGTCGAATCTTTCTAAAAGTGAGACGAGTGGTCGGGTGCTCCTAGTGCCGCGTGTGTGTAGTGATAGTCACATTGGCGAAGGTGAAGGTTTTCACTCTTCGAGACTCTCGTCCTCCGCCTCACTGGGCTCTCTCTCCTCGGCCGTCTTCTTGGCAGTGGGAATCTCTTCTGAGGAAGGCTCCAAGACTGCTTCTTCTGCTGCTCATCCTCCAGTCGTCGAGGATGGTGTGAGCGGCGATAAGAAGACGAAAAAGAAGTGTCAAAGTGGAGGAAACGAGGCGAGAGCTGAGAATGTGAATGCAGAACTGGGTGAAAGTTTACATGTCTCGTTTGGGAATACGACCCACAGCAGCAGTGGTGGCAGTGGTGGTGGTAAGAGCAAGGGGAAAACTTTGTTAGGTGTACTTGGTCCTGCTTGTCCTACTAAGGACGTAAAAACTGAGCCGGAGGAAAGTGATATCGATTTAGATACGGATTCGAGCATACAGGTTGAACACGATTTGTCTGTGGGGAATACAAAGGATTTCGTGGAAGACGAACTGCTTGAGGAGTATGATGAGCCGGACGATGAGCTGCATCGAGAGTTAGAGCAGATTTTTGAGACGGACTTGATACCGAGTGGTGGTGTTGCAAAGGGTGGGCACCGAGGAGGCAGTAGATTTAGTCCTTGCAAGAGCAAACGGTCAAAATACGTAGATTCCGCCACATGGACACAGGAAGACGATATGCCTAGCTCATTAAGTGATTTGAGCCCTGTGCAGAGTCCAAAGAAAAAAAGTAGTCACTCTTCTAGCAGTAAAGGAAGAGTGCATAGTTCGGGTCTTGCTGAGACGAGTGGGCATCATTCCACTTCTTCCACCGCTGCTGGCCATTATCCCGGAGGTCAGTTTGATCATCAATATCAATATCATAGCCATCACCAGAGCCACAAAGTAGGAGGAGGAGGTGGGATTGGAGGGCATCCAGGGAGTCGTCGCCATCCGCAGCAACAAGGGCAGCAGGCTCCTCAAAGTGGTAGCGGTAGTAGTCGCAACGGTAAAAGTCACCATCGTATCCATCAAAGTCAATCTAATCAACGACTAACTGGGAACTCGAGTGGAGGGCTCGGAAGTGAATTTATCCACCAAAATCAACCTCAACAACACCCCGTTCAGGAATGTTACACCGTTTCATCACAACTACTCTCGCGTGAAGGTACGTTTAAAATAGTTGATGGAAAGTTAATCAATGTTCTCCTATGTTTGTTGTTAATGGCTTAAAGGTAATTTTCATCTGATAAAATTTTTAGCTCGGCTCTACGAGAACTTCCCCACAACTCAGGGGGAACTGGAAACACTTGAGATTCTCCTCACTGGTGGAGAAAGCTGTAATTATCCAACATCAGGTGGTGGTGGTGGCTTTGGTAGAAATAATAGCAACCCCAAAGCTTCTACGTCTCGAAATTCCCTCTACAAAACCAACAACGGTGGTGGTGGAGGAAGTGGGAGTGGGAGTGGTGGGAGTTCTGGCACTAACAATAATAATCATATCCTCCTTCATTATCATCATCACAGTGCATCCAACCTGAATTCTTCTCCAGGACCAGGTTCCATCCGTAACTCTGTGGAACAGCTTTTTTCAGTTTCTGAGCTGCTGGGACCAGGAAGTTGTTTAGCCGTGGGTGGTAGTGGTGGTGGCATCGGCGGCGGCTGTGGTCCCCCTTCTCGAACCTCTTGGGTTGATAGTGGCAGAGAAAGTTTAAGTTTTGACGGGGAGAATAACAATTCCGGCGGAAGCTCGAGAAATTTATTGCTAATCCCTCCTCCACCCCCACCACCAATTAATTATCAAGGATTTGTCAATAGCAGTATCATTATGCAAGCCCATCACACATCCAACCAGTCCCCTTCGCATAATTCACAGGCACATTCCTCTAGAAAATCAGGAAGCAGGCGAGATCGGCTGGTACGACAGAAGCAAGCAATTGATGAGACCTTTCTCCCCATCCCCACAAACTCTACGGATAACCTGGGCATCGATCAAGGCGGAACTGGAGGGGGCTGCGGCTATTTGGCTGTCCCATCTCCACGACGAACAGGAGGCATGATGGCTAATAACCTAATTGCTGCAAACTTTTGCAATGCTGCTGCGTCTCCCATAAGTCTCCATCGACACCCTCCAGCCTCACAGATCATGTTGCACGAAAACAAGAAGAACAAACCTCTCATTCCTTGCGACAGTCCGTATGGCATCATGACCGGTGGGCATGGAAATGGTGACTGGACGTTTGGAGGAGGTACTGATAAGAAGGGGGGTCAAATGTCAAGAGATTTGCTTCGGTGTCGAAGTCCACAGCGGACTGGTCGGTCGAGAGGCAAGAATAGTCACAATCAATCTTTTGACTATGGAGAACTCCCCTCGCAACACCAAATGTTCCCCAAGAGGCATTTGCTGTCGAGTCGTCAACTTTCTTCTTACAACAACCACCAGCAAGGCTTCATTCCCGCTTCAGGGGGCAGCCAAATTGGAAATAATAATCCTGCCCTCATCTTACAACCCCAACAACAGCATAGATCGTTCCCGGTCGGTCTCTTTAGGTAAGTCATCACATTATGTAGACGATATGACTTCAGAGCACAATGGACATCACAACTGACACTTGACACACAACGACTCACATACTCGACTGATTTTTTAGTTTCACATATTAATGAAAAACCTACTAGAATGTAAGAATACACATATGTATGAGCAGGAAAAAAACACATGTATTTGAGAATCCAATAAACCTTGCCCTGTACGTACGTAGCATGGAAACGTAAACATGAACAATGGACCGAGCTACTGTTGACAAAGACCAGACAAAGTTATGACTACTTTCACCAACCAACCACGATCTCTACAAAGTAACCAATATCTAATCGGCAACAAGCAATAAAAATCATAAAACTGATGAAGACGGAAACAATTGTGGGCAATAAGTAATGACTCCTCATCTTGGCATGGGGCATGCAGCGCCTTATTAACGATACTGGTCACAGTTCAGCTCAGCAGTAAATGAAAGCAATAGGGAGTCGTCGTCGTTCATTTTATGATTGCTTAAATCCTTCCCTCCGCATTTCGTATACGTACATGTGCAGCACACGTAGAGGAGAAAATCCCACACTCTCTTCATCCCAGCAATAAAGTAAATGAGACGCGGAGCAAAGTGGGGAATAATACACAGTTGTTTTAGGAGTGGGGATGTTTTGTAGAGAAATGACGGAAATGACACTTACTTAATGAAATGAGCATGGGGTCCAACAGCAGCAAAAAAGGATTGTCATAAGATATTATCACGGCCGTGTGTGTGTGTTGCCTTTGCATCTCATACATAGTGTAAGCCCTGCTTTCCTTTCATATCCAAGATCCAGCCAACTTCTTCTTGTGTCATTCTCTTTTTTATAGCAGAAAGTGCTGGAACTTTATACTGTATCCGAGTGTAGATAGTTGTGTGGTGCTACATTCTGCAGTAATAGCACATGAAACGTACATTGTAGCACAGCAGCACCAAGCACAGTAGAAGAAAACTGCTCTTCTTTGTTCAGCAACAGCAAATGTTTGGCATCGTGGTCGTTGTTGGGGAGTCAATGCCGTCGCCATTCGTTCGTAAGGTACACACACTTCCTTCTTCTTCTTGAGTGTCGTTATCACGATCCCTGGAGAAAGTATGCTAAGCACAGTATTGTGTTTTCATGTAGCTTGAAAGGAATATAGGTCAGCTTTCACCTTCCTTCTCACTTTACATCGAGATAATACTGGGGCAAGAAGTGGATAAATGTAAAAGTGTGAAAATATGTACTGAGCTTTAGAGTTCCTTTCAGTGCATGTATATATTTTTCAGTAGCATTTCATGATACAAAGGACTTGTATATGTAAGCAGATCATCTGGAACATTCGTGCTGATTGGTTGTATTAATAGAGTCTGATGCTAATGCATGACGAGTTCACTGTTCTACGCGTATACATGAAACCCATCTACGTTCTATCTCTTAAGGATATATTTAAGTACCACAAGCATGCAAGGCTGTGAAAATATAAAATGGTGGTCAGCTTATTCCCTGTGTCAGGCGATGCAGAAACGAGGTTGTTTTGCAGGAAGTCGATCATTTGATTTCTTGCGAAAGTTTTTGGCCCTATGAACGAGTTCCACTTTGCAGTTTAAATGGAACTCGAGTACATTTCCTTTTATTATTTTTTCTACGGACTAAAAAATTGACTTTCTTTATACTCGTTCCATTTGACCACTAGGCCAGAGAAAGAGCGAGCCCATATGGAAAATGGTTTTAAATTTTGAGTCAAACTTGACACGCGGTGGTGGTTGTGGGCGGTCCATTTCCATTTTATATCTTTCTGATGGTTGTGCTCCATTTCTTTGGAAAAGCAGCCTCCACTTTCTCCGCCTGCAGCATGATTGATGGCTCTTATGGGGAAAGGAATTTCCAAACAGAGGATAGAGAAAGAGCAACAAAGAGACGACGACAGATAGACAACTCATGAGACTTAGGAGGGGAGCTTGCGAGGTTGATAATAACAGATCCTGATGCCCTTTGGATATGTGGTAGGGACCCATGAGTGTACTAAAACCCTGAAGTGGTTTGACTCCATAGCCACGTTTGCGCCCGCCACACCCACTCAAAAATGCCCAAAAACCGCTTTCACTCCAGTTTTCACTCACTCAAATCCACGCCAAAAATCCAATTTTGCTCGGATTTTGAAATTTCTTTCACCATTACACTCCCAGATAGTTGCTTTCTTCAATTCGATATCAAACTCAATATTTTAGAAATTATTAGTATTTTTAAAATTTAAAATTCTGAATGAGCAATGTTGTAGTAATCAACAACGCAAATTATGCCTGCGAAATAATCATTATCAAAATTGAGATTGACATTGGATTGAAGAAAGCAACTATCTGGGAGTGTAATGGTGAAAGAAATTTCAAAATCCGAGCAAAATTGGATTTTTGGCGTGGATTTGAGTGAGTGAAAACTGGAGTGAAAGCGGTTTTTGGGCATTTTTGAGTGGGTGTGGCGGGCGCAAATGTGGCCATGGAGTCAAACCACTTCAGGGTTTTAGTACACTCATAGGACCCTACCACATATCCAAAGGGCATCAGGATCTGTTATTATCAACCTCGCAAGCTCCCCTCCTCAGTGCCCCACCTAAATCAGCGTTAGGCCTGACAATGAAATGACATAAATATGTAATTTGTCGACATGAATTCTAAAAATGTGAAGTCCAAAATTTGTCAAATATTTTACTACCAAAAATACTTTCTCCACTATAACAAAATATATAATGGGAGCAGTGAAAGCTATTATCGGTAAAGTTTCAGACGAGTCTCGGAGGAGACAAAAGTGAATTATTCCTATATAATCTCAAGCAAAAGAGCACTTTCACTCTCATCCATGCAGTGCGTAAGATCTGATCGTGAATGTTGCTAGAATTACTAGAATATCATGAAGCATGCATGGCATCAATTTTTTCCTGTCCCAAAGATGACCACCAGCCAACAGATCACTCTGCTCTATCGACATTCCGCACTCCTAGTGACGGACTCACACAAAAAACTTGCCATCACCACCGCTCCGTTTTCGCTCATATCTTTTGACGAGAAAAGGGAAAGGAAAAAACTCTGTGTTGAGCAAAAAAGTTGGAAAAGGGAAAGTAAACAGTGAGTGGATCTCTCTCTCTCTCATCTTCTGCTGAACTTACCTCCTGTCAGTACTGGCTCCCGTTGTGCGGAGACATGTATTGTTTCATATTACATTCCACCAGAGTCGAGTGGCTCACCGATAAGTCATAAAAACAAAATTGTTCAAGTCATACGGAATAAAAGTATGGTTAGTGTTCGAGGATGCAGTTTCATTCTATATATATTTTTATATTACCAGCTTGCAAAAAGACCAGTCTACAGTCTTAATCCCGTGCATTTTTTTTACTTGTTAGGTTGTGAGTTGTAAATAGAAAATATCGTTGTCATTTCTGCTAGTACGAATAAAAGGGAAGAATAGACATACATATGTCTATTCTACAATATTGCACACATCGACTACCAACGAAAGAAAAAAATGAATGGAATGGTGGTCACAAATCCAAGGTTTGGAGAGAGAGCAGACGGCTGACATCATCAGTACGATGTACTTGTGGTTGGTCCTTCAGATAACATTTTTCTCATTGTTCTGTCCTAATGGTTGTCATTATCTCTCAAGTGTGTGTGTGGACTGTACAAGGGATATGTACTTATCCCATTTGGTCACCGTGTTTTCTTGATTTCTCTTTTCAATCCTGACTTGTACTTTTGCAAGTTAATGGACACAAACGGTGTGAAGAGTATGGCATCTTGAGCAAAGAATATTTGTCTCTTGCTACGAAAACCTAAAGAAAGCATAGTATTTATAATTTAGCGTGTGTTATCTCATCAAATACAGTAATACTAGAAAGGAGACGCTATGAGAAGAGTGCTTTCATTTGACGCCGCTTGGTAACAACCTTAATTTATCGCGACCTGACCATGCTCTAACTACATTTTTCTCCATGAACTATCTTATCCGAGGTTGTACCATTGTAATTACAGCAGATGTGCCAGTTTGTTAAAAAAGTGGAGAAAGTATGTCAGCAGTTAGAATGAAAGTTATACAACATAAAACTTTTCCACTTTCTACCACCGTGTTCCATGAACTCATTCCGAATGCAAAACTGGGTACCTGCCATTACTTGGCTTTGTCGTATCGGGGAAGGGATGATAAACTGAGAACCCTTTGTTATATAGAATCTCAAAACTTTCTCTCTTAATTTTAACTTATGTAATTTCTGTACACAATGAATTCTTAAACCACAGTTTCTCTTCTTGTGATAAATTACTATATCATTTTTATCCTCGTAGTTGGATTATCTGTAGGACGAATATCTGTACTTTCTTGCTACGAAGAAAATTGTTACTTTCGTGCATTTAGTTCCTATGAATAAAGATAGTGGGCCCCAAATGACTAAGAATATATTGTTAGTCAAATAATTGAACAGTCGCGATAATAACAGATTAAACAACAGGTATTACGAAACCTTCTCTAACGAAATGCTGGACTGATTAGTTGGACAACTACGACAATTATTCTACTTCACGGATGGTCAAGCATGCTTTCTCTTAAACAAACAATTTTCTTGAAGTTAACAATAGTTAAGCTGTGCTCCTGGATATGAGCAGTGCATAAGTTATGAGCCTGCAATCAATGTCTGGCTTGTGTTTTCTATTGGTTCGTACAATTCCCAATCCATTTCTACAGATTAAACACTATGTTTCAATTAAAGCTAAAGTCTATAATATTTGCAATTCATTTACTCGTTCCAATAAAGCTCCACACTTTAACGAGTTAGGCTGAAACCATTTTAGCTTGACATATAAATATATGTATGTGCATCTATTATGTGTCACGTTGTTGCCATAAATCTAGAATAAGCGAGCAATATTCTAACTTTATTTGGAGATAAAGTCTTTATCGATTTCGAATAGTTGTAATTTCACAATGCTGATGATGTAACTGCACAATGGAATTTTGACTGTCGTCGCATCAGCGTGAGCCTAAGAGTGGGTTTTATAAATGTCTTTGAAGACCGAGGAGCATAGGATGGAACAGCGAAAACCCGAATTTCGTGCGAGGGCAGAAAGCGTATCCCTTTCCATCCAATATGAGTAAGCGATATACTGCGGGTTTCGTTTCGAATGTGGGCGTCAGAGTGGGATGAACTGCTGATGATGAAAAGGCCAATCGACCTCCGTGGTGAAGATTATGGAGAAAGCAGAATTTCTCTTTTTCTTCTCAATAGCATGTTACAAATATAAAATAAGTGGGTGTAAGATGAGTATCATCATTAGTTTTAATTGCACTTTTTAAATCATCGGTTTAGCTACCACAATCATATCCCTTGTGGGAAAAGGTGTATATTATGGTTCATTAGAGAACCGAATTGTGAATATTTATCTAGTGCCGTCATACAAGAAGCAGATACCACAAGGCAAATATGTACATATGTATAAAAACCCTAGGTTTCTATTCTAGGAAACTACGTATACTTTAATGCGTGGGAGGAAAAAGCTTTTTCAAATGTCATAGTGAAGTTGCACTTACATAGTTTTCCTTTTATTTTGGAGAAAGCAGACTTCTCAATTCGGAGTTTTACGTACTTACTCAGCATCCGCAGAGGGGTTATTTTGCGGTCTTCTGTGAAGGAGAAATGAAACAACACTATAGCAAAGCGTCTTTCTTATATTTTCTTGGGAGCAGTAGAAAGAAATCTAAAAGATAAACAATTAATTTTGATAATTGCATTAAACTTCTAAAGTTTGTAGACTTTCAGGATATAAATCAGCCAATTAATGAATGCTAATATATGTGAGAACTTGTATATAAATCTTTTAGTTGTCTCATCAAGAGGAATGCACAGGGAACAGCACAGAAATTTAGAAGTCACACCATCAAAGCAAACTTATATAAGAAAAGACATGCAGTGGTCGAGAGTGAGGTCTTCGTTTCAAATAGTTTCCAAATACTTTAAGCTCACCAGACTTACTAGGAATTGGAACAATTTAACGTGCACCGTCGAAATTGAGAATTGTGAACAATTTTCGAATGAGGGAGGAAAAGGGAATTGTTCTGCATTGTCGGCTATGTTTCAACTGTTGTAAATACACATTCTTACACTACACGTTGTATAAGAAATTGCATATCAACTAATTCTTTGTTAATTGAGTGTCAAGAGTTAAGCAACAAGATAAATAGATGGCAATCCATTAAAGGGAAACAACCACTTTCTGACGTTCATATAATTTTCAAACCCACAAATCTCAACACGGTTCCAAATGGGAAATCAGTTCATAGCATGAGATATATATATTACCGTTGATAACATGTCGTTGGCCTACTTTCTCGTATGTTCTGCGCAAGCAATAAAATTCATTCTCAATTGCCTCGAAATGTTGTATGGCTTGACTACAGCTTTATCGTTCCAGTAAATTGTACGCCATATTCCAAATTGCTAAATAAATAAATTCAAACTGCAATTAAAATCGAAAAATAAGAAGCATAGGCCCAATGAACCTCGTACCTGCATGTGTTGACAAAACTGCTCATTAGTTCATTATCTACATTTACATATGCATTGTGACCAGAGATGTAACTGGTAACTCTTTGTTTCTTTCTACTAATTTATTCATGAGGTTTACATGTATGGATTTTCCTAATGTCGTAAATATGATTACGCCAATTTCGTTTTGCAAGGTTAAAAGCACATATGTACTATGAAATTACTTGAAACTTGTAACCGAACAGAAGAGGTTGGTGAAAGTGTGTTATAAATTCATACTAAAATTAAATTTAGCAAATGCTAAAGCAATTTTGCACTTTATACACATACGTGCGGCAAATTCACAAAGTTTCTCTGCGCTGACCATGAAACTTTGTAAGACAATCAAAAGTAGTTCTCCACTTTTGCTTCAAGTAAAAGTAATAGGAAAAGAAGGGTTGCTGTGTTCTAAATATACGACACATCGTTTTTGACCCGATTTGAGATTTCAATTACATACTTGAGTGAGACTCACAGTCAGCCCACTTGATGTATTTTTGTACGATTTGTAGAACTCGGTTTAGTCATAAAACGGTGAAAGAAAAGTACACTTTTTCCAGGGGAAGGATGAATTCAGTCCCACGGGAAGTTTTCATCTGTCCATTAATCTAGAAATATCTGCCGCTTTGCTCACCTACTTTCTACCCTACCTGACCTTTTCCTTTCAACCCATGCATAGGGAAGAAGGATGTCATAATATATCTCTCTCCATCCACTCACCACTTAATATTAGATGTGATCCAATATAACGACGTCTATTCCAAAGACGAGCTCACTCTACCGAGAAACCATTCTTGCTAATTTGACATTTGGTACTTTGGATCTCTTGACATTTCTTCTTCTGTGGGACGGGTTTACTGGCACAAGACATGCTACTGCACATTGCTCAAGTTTATTGATTGGGGTAGAAAGTTATCGCATGCGGAAGGGTTAGCAGCATCCACATCACGGAAGAAGTATGTAGTCATGTGGGCACGATGGCAGCAAAAGCATAGTGAGCAGAAAACGGATTAAATTCTAGTTTGCTTCCCGATCTCCGTGAGAACTAGGGCAAACCACTCCTTCGGCCTTTTCACAAGACCTATTTTCTGGTCATATTCACTGCTTATGCACACAAAACCCACTGTCTAAACCTTTAGCAAATAAAAGGCGGAGAAGACTTTTTAGTGACTTCATTACTTTTGTGAAGTAATTCCTGTGGCTATGTACTTATCAAAAGTATATTTCGATATGTATATCAAGCACTGGCACATGAATTTTATCGTGATGGAGAGAAAATGCATGGAAATTAAGGTTGTCCAATGCAGATTCTGCCCTCCATCTGGAATATTCCAAGCCAGGTAGAAAGGTTTTATTGGAATTTAGATTCCACGTCTGTGGTTTGACTCGAACCACACCAAGTTGTAAGATGGTGTAATTTGACAAAATTCAAATCACGTCGTTCAGCTAATTCAATTCCTTATTTCAGCCCCTGTTGCATTAGCTCCAACCCACACAGACCCAATCTTTTATGTCGTCCAGAGTCAATGTGACATGTAAATTAGCAAAAGCTAACAGAGAGATCTGTACTACAATGGATTCTTTGTGCCGTTGTGCTGGAGCTGCTCGTTGGAGTAGAGATTATTGGACTATTGTTACGGATATATATTGTTGGGAAGGATTACTATGTATTTGCTGGTGAAAGCCTTGAGTAGAAAAAGTGGTGGGTGTTGTATAAATTAGACATAAATCCCCATTGTCCACCCCAAAACCCGTACGCTTTTTACGACACAAAGTATTTGATTAGTGGGAGTTCTTACTTCTTTTCATATGGAAATAAGTATTGACCCGTGGAAATTCTGTACGAAGACATTGTCATTGACGGCTCTGTTGTCAAATGTCGAATGTTGAGTTGATGTTCAAAAGATTCTCAACGCTTCTTCTAGATTTTAATCAAGCCAACGGTGCAAATGAAGCACAAATACCCTGCACAAAACAAATCTCCCAAATAGAAGTGAGTCAAAACTAATTGAAAGGATTTCTAGGATGTATATATGTATGAAGGCCATTTGGTCCTGGGTATGAATAAAATAAGCATCGTGAGTGCCTGTGGCAGTAAATTGTCTCAACTCTCCATTCGTCATATCTCTCATATACTGCTTTCCCTGGATTTGTTCCACTGGAACAAGCAGAATTTACTGCAAGCTCGTTCGGATGTTGTTTATTCGTCCTGAAAAGCAGAGTGAGCAGCAGAGTTGCGGAGGTTTCGGGTTAATCAATCATAATCATTCATCGCGGATGAGTGACTCGAACATAATGTGTTTCAGTCACTGACCAACTTTCAGATGACTATGCATTTCCACTCACTCTATGTAAATACACCACGTTCGTTGGCTATTCAAACAAATAAATGAATACTCTCGCAGTGGCTGTGATGATCATTTTTATTATTATAATACTATCCATTAAAGCCCACTTCAAGAGTGAAAGGTACATAGTTTCGGACAGCGGAATCACACGTGGACATCCATACACATGTACATAGTGGACGTTACAACTGACTTGACCTTACATTATATGTACGACTTGAACGAACTGGTAGGATAATCACAATTTTGCGCTTTCTTGAAACAGCGGGGGTGCACCCAAGTCCTGTTCCATGGGGGACTTGACCTCATCCACAGCCTCGCCCAACAAACGTCCCCCCAACCACAGCAACCACCACAACTGCCAATCTTTTCACGGAAAGGCGTCGGACGAGGTTGCCCTCTGTCCTCCTCATCCGAACCCCGCCTCTCTCGTCACCTCGCTCCCCCTGCCACCCCAAACCTCGGTCACCTACGAGTTCTCTCTCGCCCCCCAATCCGGCACCCTCGCACCCGGCTGGAACTTGACCGCAGTCCAGAGAGGTAAATTTTCACTAAACAAATATTTAATCAACAAATAGTTAGCTGGAAATTCTAGACTGAATACATAGAAAAAATATGAAAGTCCCCGAATCGAAAAATCTTGTAGCCTGAAAATTTTAATAAAATTTTAATCCAAACAGGACTGGCCACTGCAGTTCCACTAGGTAAGTATCATTAATTTGCTTTACTATTCCTTATTTTATTACGACTAAAATTCAAATTTTGACAATATCTCATTAGCTGCAGCCGTTGCGAGAAGAAGATTGCCTCGCCCAAGAACAATGCGACCAAGATTTGGATTCACAGACAAGAATGAAGCACGAAAAGCCAAGTGGACCATTGTTGTCACAGCATTGGCATTGTTAGCCATGAGCATATTGTTGGTAGCCATCACGCTAAGATTGGCACCTTTGATCGATGACCTTGGTAAGAGAGGATGTTTGCCTCCCATTATTTTCCTCCAATCTGGTTATGGATACGTCTCCGCCTGCTTTGTTTGCAAGCTCATTTAAGCCAAATTAGTTTTCGGTGTTCGCTTTCTCCAGAAATAGGACGTGACAAGTTAACTTGAAAAATCAGGTATTTTTCTCCCCTTCTACGGGGAGAAGTTGGTGAAAAGGCAAATCTACGTCCCACGAGTGCACTTTTGGTTGACTTATTCTAACCACGTGCTAACGTTGCGTCATAGGTGATTCAGCAATTAAGTTCAGGTGTTGAGCATGTAGAGTTTGGAGACGTTATTTTCTATGAAAAAGGTTGAATAACCTGTGAACGGAACGGAGGTAGACATTGTGTCCATAAAAAATTGACATGACGCATTAATTTTTCTATAATGAAACTCACTTTCACGCTCACCTTTTAGATTGATGAATTTCTCCACGAACGTGGGTCGAATAACAATGGAACAAAAGTGGGTAAATGAGACATGAAAAATTGTTCTAAAATGTAGGCCCAAAAAACGTACAGCTCGGCTCAGTTGATTTGTATGATTTTTAAAAGTGATATAATTTATTTCCACTTGACATAAACTGTGTTGCAGGATACGCAAGAGTGAAGTTTTCGAGCTGGGTTTTAACTAGAATGATGGACCTCAGGTCTCATAAAACGCTAGATTTGCTTGATTTAAGTTTTCGGTATGAATTCGGCAAACGCCAAGCCAAGACAGCTTGTTACGTAAAGATACCACGGTTCGTTCGGGAGAATAGAGCAGAGCGAGTGGGGCTTGTGCGTGGGCAAGTGGTTCTCCGTTTGTTTTTGCTGATGTCGACAATTTATCCTCGATAAAGTTGATTGGGTGTGTGCTTTCTCCAACCGAGTCGACTTTGCGTCGCTCAATAGTTTCATACTCAATGGACCAATTCAGTGAAATGAGTTCTACTTACGTCCTTCCTGATTTCCTTCACCTCATCATCATTTCGCTAGATTTCCGCTTTTGTTCACTCTGCTAATGGTAATACAATCTGCACAACATTCCTCCGATTCGCATTTCTGGCATGCAATTTCCTCAATGGTTCGCTTTTGGCCAACTTTTCTCACCGAACCAACTCCATCCATACCTCGCTTTCTGTAAATGGGTGTACCTTATTATGATTTCACCCAGATTAGCTAGCTCATTAATTGAAACGTGATAATAAATTTAAGTACAATGTCTCCATTATGTAGTCCAAATTCCATTGCATCGTAGCCAATTATGTAAGGTCACGAAGTAGATTAAAATCAATTTTAGCATTATTATTTTTGGCGTGAGTTTATTTCTTTAAAAAAAATGGAGCAATTTTCAAAAAGTAAAGCCAAGTGTGAATTGGGGTCTATTTATAGTCTACTCATATACGGACAACGGCAACATTCTTTATTGCTCCCTCGTGAGCCGATGTTGCTAAACTAATCTAAACTACAAACTCCTCAAACCAAAGATATTCCAGTGCAAAAGAAACAAAACACTGACACCCATTGTATCGATGTTGAAACAATGGCTTCAAAATCTGCATGAGGTCCACATAACCCATTCATGATCAGAGTTTCTGTTAAAAACTATTCATCAACAAAAATACTGTACAATATCTGATTTAAGATTTTGCAATAATGGATGAACAAAACCGTGGATCTACCACGAGTCTCTCAGAGTCCGATTAATCTGAGTTGTGGGAGACGACCCTCTACGGTCACGTCAGCAGCGTAGGAATACTTTGAAACTATTTCATGTCAGTACTGATATGGCTTTCACGCAACCAACCTCTTTTCATCAGCCCACCCGCAGAACCAATACTTTCACCACGTCAGAGTATGTAGTCAATGGCTGTGTGCATAGTCACCCTACAACCCACAACACTGCTCTTCCCGTTCTCCACCAAATAACAACAAACTTTAGCACATTGTTTCAGATACGTATTTGGGTATCGTGCATGAGTTGTTTCATTTGTTCAATTTAATTCCCAGAAAAGAGTCGTAACAAATTAGAGACCACATCAAACCAACCAAATAAAGAGCAAGAATCTTTTGGTAGCCCATCATCGCATGTATTGCACATGTATCGAGAGCGTAATTGGATTTCATAGTACGATGTAACGAAATTAGACTGTAAATGGATTATGACGGATTCGTATGTTGAAGAACATGTGGGCAGCATTAGGCTCTTTTCCAAATAATTGATTTAATAATGAGGGTGCAAACGAGGTTGGTGTGATTAAGTGACCGCGATTTCACTCAATTCGATGATTGATCAAACACATTGGTTCTATTTTTAACTCTTGGTGAAAAGCTTTCACCAGCAGCGTGGGGGTCCCATCGTTAATCCCATCTCATCGGAGAGCACTTCTACCTGAATGTCACCGCTAGTATACGTATATGCCTCGCAGTAATGGCCCACGGAACGTCGACGGGAGGGCCAATATCCGATTGACGTGATAGAATTGTTTCAGACCGACAAATCCTTGAACTTTCTGCATCTATAAAATGTCCTTGGATCAAGTTTAGCTCTCAAAGCAGAATAACTAAACATGCGTCCTTCCACCAGTCGTTAGGTGTGGTCCGAGTGGCAGGAAATAGTCTCCGATTCACGAAGTACATACATTTATTTTCTATGTATACACTTGTGTACATATGTCAATTTAGCAATTTGTATTTAATAATTTGCAAGGCCTCGAGCCAAGACCAGAAAAACATTCGGCATGGAGAAGGGAAGGGAGAAGGAAAGAATTTTGGAGATGAAGCTCGGCAGGGAATATGAAAAGGCATTAGTTTTTTATACACGTTCCAAATGTTCAAAGTCACCTACCTGACTCTCCTCTCAGCCAACTGTGCACACAGTCAAAAACTCCTTTTTGTTCAACAAAGTTTGGTACACATTGGAGAAACTGTGTCTAAATGTTGTCTGCCTCATCTTACAGCGTACAGATAGCTCCGCTGGAACTTTCTCCTCTTCCCATTAGATTATCATCGCCTCTCCTCGAATCCTCCCTCAACAAGTTTTCCAGCATTTCGTGCTCTATAACTCACCTATAATTACAATTCTTTGTCTATAGCCTACAGATTTTTATTTTTTAAAGCCAGCCAAAAACTCTCCGCTGTTAGGCATGCACACATTTTGGACGCTGCGAGAGCGATAACATTTTGAAACAAACTATTATAAGATGGCAGCTGCAATACGTTGAGGAATACATGACCTGAAATTTGGTCATTAAAATTCAGGTCGCAATTTCTAATTCAGAAATGTTCTGACTTATCTGGAGTAACATCTGTGCCGTACTCTCTTCTCTGCTGTCTATCCGAGCAGATTACCACCATACCGTCTTACAAAACGGTAACTTTGAAAATCGCTTTTTGATCCTGTCTGTGTGGAAGCCTGATCTGATATTCATATAATCGCGTTCCGCAGCAGTGGCACGTCGAGTGAGGCAGTTCGGCTCCGTTTCTTATAAATGCGTTGCCGCCCGTGCTCTTTACACATTTAGCCAGTTTGGAAATTGTTTCAAATATCAACATATTTATAACACAATTCGGTGACAAATACGTTATTCGTAACTGAATTACTTATAACAATCAAGAGATTTGCATAACTGGATTACGTTTTGGAAATGCGAAAATATGAAAACTTGTGCAGATTTCCAGTTACTTACGAATGGGAGTGAATGGGACATATCCTTCGCGAAAGTGGGCAGCACGACGTTGTTGGGATGGCTGCTGCTCCACGGTCGATAACCTACTTTTGCTGATGCTCTTCTCATGGTTGCTTATGGATGCAAGAAGGATGAGGAAGAATTCGTTCATTTTTGTAATTACCAATGTTGAATGTTGAGCAGTACGGCTTTTTGTATTATACTTATTTCATTGCTTAAAATCCGAGAAAGCATGACCATATTTAGAAGTACTAAAAATCTGAAACATGATTTTGCTTTTTATTTACTTTGGCTTTGTCAGCGTACCGAATACCATAAGTTTAGCTGAATAGAAGAAATGCATGCGTTGCAGAACAAGGTTATATAGGTATGCATAAACGATGCGCTAGTTGCAACTTTTGGTGACTATTATATTATTTATATTAAATTGACCAGGTGCCAAGTACAGTTACAACTTGTTAAAAATTGGCAGGTCCAAAAGCTAAAGTTGTTGAAGTTACATGGCATAATTGCATTCCAAAATTTCTCTTCACTTGTACAACAAACGATCTTCCGCTGATGGAGAACGTGTGAACCCGATTCACTTGTTCTTAATGAAGGAGGATGCATTCGTATTTTTGGCAGCGAGTTTACATAATGACATTATTTGCCTTTGTGCATAATGTACTTCATGCGATCCCACACCAGATACTACAACTGCTATGTATGATTTTGTGCACTTCAACGACGAATACGTTGAGGCTGTGTCCGGACCTCGTTTGAGCTTTGATTTATGCTTCAGAATAATGAAATATGAGTGTGCCTTCTAATTAGGTGCAAACAACGTCTGATGTTACATAACCCTTGTTAAAATGGGGTTTTTGTTTCACCAGTTTGTAAGTAAGTACTTAAATGGAGAAGTACTTTACTCTAAATAAAATATTTTTTTCGTCTCTCCGTCCGCTTTTTGTCATAGGATACTTATCCAACATAATGGATATAATATAGTTTACACGATAAGGGTGAACTAAATTCCTTCTCGCTCTTTTCATGCCATGACTTATTTAATGCTGTGGAAAATTGCAGAATGCTACATAGTTGTGCTCATCCTGAAGCAAGTGGGTCTGACAAGGAGGCTGTTTGTCTCTGGCTGTGATAAAGGGTTTCATTTCCTATATTTGCCAGTTGAAATTAAGCACGAGTGGTGAAACAAAGTCGTTCCGAGTAAGCTAAGCAGTTTCTCGGCTCGTGAATTTAATCTGCGTGTGAATTTTGTTACACCACTCGCTCACTTTTCACTCGTGTACTGAACGGAAATTATTTTTGGCTTGA